ACAACCCTATGGGCCTTCACGGCCTGGTACAGGGAGAGCTTTACTTTTTTTTTTTTTTTTACTTACCCATTTCTACCATGTAGCTGGCCAGCAGGTGGTACATCATCACTAGCAAGCCTGTTATTGGATTTGCACTCTTTTTATACTATACTTAAATATTGATCTTTTTTTTTAACAATTTTATGCTGTATTCATATTGTTATGTGATTCATGACTAGACATGGGGTATGGATTGATAACTGGATTTACTGAACACACATAAATCATAATTACAATTAATTATAATACAGTCACTGATCGCACACTGTACAATTCACTACAGCATGCACTAATCTTCTCACTCTGCTGTGTTTTCACTGCTTGTCACCTGGTAACAGCTCCCAGTACTGTATATTTCTTGGCTTCTGCATTCTACAGCTCCAGTCCACTGGCTGATGCCTTTCTCGTAACTACTCTTCTTTGCCACAATCCCTGCCCATTGTCTCTCAGCCAGTACTGGACTAACTGCTGACGTGGAACTCAGAATTTGACTGCTTGTTCTGAACTGAACTCTTCTTTATAACCACTTTGCATTGACCAAATAGAAAACACAATTTTCAACAATGCCCCTTTTGTAGGTGTGTTAGCAATATGTTGCTTAGATATGAGTTGCATAACCCTGTTGGTCTGTTGTTGCATGCATGTACATTGCGGGCGTTACCTAGCAATGGCTGTTGTTTACAGAGTCGCTGCTTAGGAACAGATCTATACGCCACAATATTTTGATACTTTATTTTATACTTGAATGAATGAATGTATAAGGGGTGGCCCTTCTCAGCCCTTGCACCACGACCTACGGTGGTCTATTGTGCTTCCCCTTTTGATTATCTCCTCAGCAATCCTGCCTTCATTTGAAGCGCAGGATTTTGTACATGGGGGCATCGAAATAGTCACTTGGTTCCATAAATTATTGTCACAAGTGATGTAATCTTAAATAAGCTAAGGCCTCACATTCGCACAGGATATGTGTGTGGCTGTTTCATTTCCTTCTTGACACCTCTCACAAGTGGGACTATCACTTAGTCCCAGTTTGAAGAGGTGTCCTTTAAGGTGACAGTGTCCTGTAAGTAGTTCCACCACCCATCGTAGCTGGTTCCTGTTTAACTTCAACAGTCCCTTTGCTTGCCTGAGTCCAATCAAGAATCCCCAGTATTTCTTATGATTCATATTTGTCTAGTCCCTGATTGTCTTTCTGGCAACTCCTGTAGAGATGCCACAGGCTGGTTCAGGTCCTATGAATGGATGTTCAACTCCAGTCTTAGTCAACTGATCTGCTGTTTTGTTCCCAACAATACCCTCATGCCCCGGCACCCATATCAGTTGTTCAACTCCAGTCTTAGTCAACTGATCTGCTGTTTTGTTCCCAGCAATACCCTCATGCCGCGGCACCCATATCATTTGTACCGCTTTGTTTGGCCAGTTCCGTGAGGGTATTATGGCAATCCCAGACCAATTTTGAGTTGATCTGGTGTTTGTCAAACGCTTTAAGTGCAGCCTGGCTGTCAGATAGAATGTAGATGTTCCTATATGTGTAGTTCCTATCTAAATTCTCCATAATACATGCCTTAATGGCATATACTTCTGCCTGGCATACTGTCGTGTACTGCCCAAGGCTGAAACTAAGTTTCCGCCTTGTGCCATAGCAATACACACCAGCTCCAGTGCCCTTATTTATCTTGGAACCATCTGTATACCAGAGCAGTCCCCCTTTTCTCTCAGGGCTGAAACCCATCTTCCCATTCCCTCCTGTCAGGAAATCTGACTGTGAAGGGTTTTTCATATACATGTCTCAGTATCGTTTTGTCAGACCCCATTTGTAATATGGGTTCTTTTTTCATGTCCTGAGTTATGTATGCATGTCCGAAACTGTCGGATCTAGGTTTCCATTGTTCACTGCACTGGAGACGGTACATTCCTGTCCTGGCCTCTGGCTCCAACTGTAGATACAGTGGGGGGAGTCCAAGGAGTGTCTCCAGTGCAGCTGTTGGAGATGTTCGAATTGCTCCTGTGATACCCAAGCAAGCCAACCTTTGCAGTTTGTTAAGTTCTGCCATGCTTATCTTGAGTTTAACTCAGGGCCACCATACTGTGGCGCCGTATGTAATTATGGTTCTTACATCCGCAGTGTATATCCAATGCACAACGTGCGGCTGCAGTCCCCAAGTTTTACCAAGCATGCTTCTGCATGTCCAAAATGTCTAATAGGCTATTAATGACCTTGTCCAGCTGCTTTTTTTCATGTCAGTCCCTTGTCTAATACTAGACCAAGGTACCTGACATCGCTGGAGAGCTGGATCATCTTATTAAAGAGGTTCGGTTCCTTAAGGCCCTTTATATTTCTCTTCCTAGTAAACGGTATAATTACCATCTTATTAGGATTGATGGAAAGACTCGTTCTTTCACACCATCGTTGGACCATGTACAGAGCTATTTGAAGATGCTCTGATACTGTCGAAAGGAATTTTCCATTTATGAGGATTGCTATGTCAGCATATCCCACTGTATAATACCCATCATCATTAAGTCCCCGCAGGAGATCGTCGATGACCGGGCCTCACAGCAGAGGTGAGAGCACGCCCCCCTGTGGACAACCCCTAGACACATAGGCCCCCAGGGTTTCTCGTGATAATATAGCAGCTATGGTTCTGCTTTCCAGCGTAGCACTGATCGACCTGCATATTGCAGGCTCTATGCCATGCTTTCCAGTGGCCTGTTTGATTATAGAAAATGAGGTTCTATTGAAAGCTCCCTCTATGTCAAGGAATGCTCCTAAGGCAATATCCTTGTGTTCAATCTCACTTTCTATGCATGTTACCACATTGTGTAGTGCACTTTCGGTAGATTTACCTGTTTGGTAGGTTTGCTGGTTTCGGTGTAGAGGATATGTCCTCAACGCCCCGCCCCTGATATGCCTATCCACTGCCTGGTGCCCCGAGGGGATCATTCAAGACACTGGCTAATTACCACCCCAGTGCCATGCAGCCCTCAGCACGATGCCTCACACCTTCGCTTAGGTCATTTGGTCCTGTAGTAAATGCAACCCTCACAAGCCTCCAGTACCAAGAGTGCCTGTTTGGGGGGGGGGGGTATCCCAGATGATAAATGGGAGTGCGACACCAGTTAGTCATGAGGTTGCGGCCAGGGCAACCTGCATGAGAGAGTCACCCCTGGCAGTGGCTTATGAGTTCCTCCATTCCCATCCCTCCACATGGGTTGGTCAGACCGTTTTAGAGTGTTGAGCCCTAAGGCTTGCAGCACCTTATTGGTACTCTAGGGAGACAACTCAAATGGTCGAAGCTGCCCCCTTAGGAGTGCTGTCCCGCATTCGTTCCAGGTACACCGTAGTGATACCCAAGAGTCATTAGGCCACTGCATGGGAGGCTCCGGTCATAATGCCATTGCCCTTTATGGGAACTTAGCCGCCAGCTCCAGTAGGTCATACCGATCACACCCTGAGACTGTTGTTACCCAGTGGGACCACAAGGAGGTGTCCCAACGCTTCCCTGGTCCATGATGTATCCCCACCAAAGACACAGCCGTGGTTTGGCCAACCTCATTGAGTATGGTGTCATTACCACGTGTAACATGTGACCTAAGAAAGTCACAGTTGCCCCGGGATCAAACCCGGGCCGCCTTATTTTATACTTGCTCCTCGGGCATTTAGGCTCATGGAGATGAAACATTTGATTTATGTTGCAAAATATTTTAACTAATTGATTCTATTTCCTCAATATAATGATTAGTCTATTGTCTGAAAAACCAGAGAATTTTGATTATATTCCCAACAGGGTTAAGCTATTTATCTCTTTTTGGCATCCAGATTGACTCTGGGACCCACCCGTACTTCTCTCTGAAGGGTAATGGAAATTGCTGTCTCGAGGTAAAACAGTAAATGGCATGAAGGCAACCAAGTGTTGAGGTTAAGAATGCATGGAACTATACCGCTGCTGCCAGATATATCTTCATGATGTGGTGGTTAATTAAGTACAGGGAGAACTTTACCTTTTACTTTCTTCCATTTAACTTGGTTCTGATGTTATTTTTCAGTTTATCTTATCTCACCCTTTGCAATTTAAAATGACATGGGAACTTAGTTTGTGTGATGTGTCACTGTTTGTAGGTTGAGCTCGAGCTCTGAGGCTGAGACTATAAGTGAAGATGAGCTTTGGGGCGTACCTGTCTTAAGATCAAAGAAGACATGTGCAAAGCTCAGGTGAGTACCAAGATTGAGTATCAATAGACAAAAGTATAGCTGTAACTTTTTCATTTAGGAGTAAGTTGCATAGAGTGTTGGAGGTTTGTGAGTGTTTCATAAATGCCAGCCATGAAAACTTGAGGATGAGCCTCCCTGCCCAGAAGAATCTGCACTGAAATTTCAGAAAATTTTTGTTTTGTGTGAAAGTTACTTTTAATGCCTATCAGATTTCCAGGGGATAATCTCATCCCTCCCTCATCTAAGAATGGCAGAAGAGGCTTTTGGTTTTCATCTGTATCCTAGCAGCAGCAGTAATGTTATTATTTTCAATGTGTATGCCCCTTTGACTGTAGGTTCTTCACCGATCGGTAACACAACTACAAAGGCAGGGTGAAGACCCTACAGTCAAAGTGGTATACATAATGAAAATGATAACACTACACCAGCATGCTTAAGAACTACACAATAACTCACATAGCACTCATGCCACAGGAAATGCTGTGCAAATGAATCCAAGACAAGAGACCTCAAACAAATATCGTTTTGACGAATGGACAGTGACCACAAGAATGACATTGGGGATATTAATTAATTTTATCTAGTTTTATTAATTATAATTAAGAAATAATACATTCACTCGCGATATGAAATTCTGACGTACCATACATTGCAACAATTTTAACAAAAAAGAAGACACCTGATGATGGCCATTTATGGCTAAAACATTTGAGGAAGAAGGGTGGCTAATAATAAGTTGCATCGGAGACAGAAATATATGAAATAGATGATATATTAATGCAGCAGGACGCTTAAATACAATAGTATGATATATCTTGTATATGTTCTCTTAAGGTAACAATAACACAGTATCCATAACAAATTACATACTGTGTCATCAATCTGGCAAGGTGATTAGGGATGATGGCAGGTGGGTAGGTATATGGAAGGAGGCAACAATTTATTGCTTTGTCTTGAGTTTTACTAGTATACACATTAAGGAGATGAGATATTATTCACAAGATCTGGTACAATTCGAACATCATCACTGCCTCTATGAGACCAAGATTCGCACAGAAAAAATGCAACAGCAGTAACTCCTACTACTGCTGCTTGGAATGCTATGTGGTAGATATAACACCCTGTTGGGAGCCTGCCTGTGTTTGGTGGTACTTAAAATTTCATCCATGGAGAACAACCAGAAACACCTTATGCGTGTCATTCCAACCACTTTAAAGAGAGAGATATAAATCTTTGGTGAAAGAAATTACACTGCTTAAAGTGATAAACATTAGTTCTTCACTTCGTCGAATGAAACGGGAGTGAACTTGGCAGAGAATATCATGACATACATGAAGTACTCCAACTACAGATTGTATTTAAGATCTAAAAGTCTGTGATGATGGTATATTAATACAGTTACTGTGTTTTTTGGATATTATTAATTGTCCTGGTTTTTTATGTAAAATACATCATTTTGAAGATTGGAGTCTGTCTCTGTCTTCAAGTAAAAACTTACTCAGTTGGGCCCAATCAATAGAGTGAGTCCCTATTTCCAGACACCAGCACCAATGAACAATAGGCTGTATAAACCAACCACAACATAAACTATCAGCCAGAGTTAAGACAGGATGAAAAATATTTAAAACTCCACACACACACACACACACATGAGGCCTAGCACCTATGTCCATGCATTATTTATCAGCCGGTGTCTGTGAAATCAGTGTTCTTTCAGAATAGAAGTAATCACTAAAGAGACAAATTTTCTGTTTAGTACCAACATAAGAACACAACTTTCTCACATAATCTACACTGGATAGAGTTGTAACTTGTTGACTTCTGCTACTATAAAGGGAGTCCAGATGGGAGAGATATCCAAGCTAGGTTGGCTGATCGGATGATCTACCAGAGACAGGACGGATTCCTTGTATTTTCCATAGGTGGTGTCTGGTTCAGTCTGCAAGACCTTTGCTCCTTTCCAACATATTTTGTGGCCTTCTTCATATACATGTTGGATGAATTTTGATTTTTCGGGCAGACCTTGAGTCGGATAGTATTTGTGCTCCTTAATGTGTACTTTAAAAGTTTGCTTGATTCGCCAATTTAACATCTTCCACAATCACACAGGACATTGTACACACACACTGCGTCATCTACTGGGCATTCCTAACTGGTCCAGTTTTCATCACTGATCACCAGAGATAGTGTGGCAGTCCAAACCTGTTACACTTCTCCATGGGTGCTATGGTCCTCTTTAGCCATTTCAATAGGGTGACTGGTTTATTGGGGAGACTGATTTATTAGCATGTTATGACTTGTTTTACGTATCTGGACAGAAAACAACTGCCATGTTTTTGTTTACATGCAGTTGGGATGACCGGAAGGGTACAAGGTCACCACGGAAGGCAAGTCTATAGTTTCCCTAAGATGTGAATTTTGTTCTGTTGACATGTGTAGCTGTCATAAAGTGTCTTTGGAAAGGTGTAGCTGGACCCTAAACTAAAGAAAATAACCACTCTCACATGTGGTGTTCCAAGTTTTGTACCTTGGGAACTGTTAAATTCTCAAGGGTCATTGTGTGATTGGCTTGCTCTGATTGCATGATGAATCTGGCTAGTTAAAATCAGCCAATTGGAAATGAATTCTTGTCTGGGAGAGAGGCCATCAATTCAAATTCTTCATGGGGGATGAGCAATGCTCCTGCAGGAGACAAGTCTTCAAAAGAAACTTGGCATTTTGAATTGATCGGAGGCAGATATTATTGGACTACACTCTTTGTGTTACTTTAAATTCATCAGTCCTTCACTTTGGATCGTTAAAATTTGATGATAATAAAGGGCCATATTACCCCATGCTTGCAAATGAAGTTATAATATTTCGCTTCTGAATAAATAAGCAGTTTATGGACAGTGAAAATTGTGTTGTTGAGTTTGAGCAGTGGGCTGGCTTCAAGTGTGCACTTTCCGGTTGCCAAATACAGGCAGTGTTCTAAGTACCTTTTGACTATTTTTCCACACAGTCACCACCCCGATTCAGGCATTTGTCCCATTGCACAACTAGTTTGGAGATGCCGCTGTTGTAGAATTTGGCCATTTGAGCTCGGAACCACCACTGGACAGCAGTTTTCGTGCCGTCGTAAATGAACCTCTGGCCTGCCAGGAACTTCTTCGGTGGACCGAACACATGGTAATCACTGGGGGTGAGGTCTGGACTATACGGTGCATGCTCCATAAGCTCCCATCCGAAGGACTGCAGTCGGGCCCGGGGATTCTTGTGGACGATGTGGTTCTGCTCCATGATGCCAGGCCTCATGTGGCAAACAGGATCGCCACCTGACTGCAGTCATTCGGATGGTAGATTATCGAGCATGCCCTGTGTAGTCCAGACCTCATCCCCAGTGATTACCACGTGTTTGGTCCACCGAAGAAGTTCCTGGCAGGCCAGAGGTTCATTTCCAACGACGCGAAAACCGCTGTCTGGCGGTGGTTCTGTGCTCAACCAGCTGAATTCTACAACAGTGACATCTCCAAACTAATGGTGTGATGGGACAAATGCCTGAACCGGGGTGGTGCCTGTGTGGAAAAATAGTCAACGGTACTTAGAACACTGCCTGTATTTTGATTTCCCTGTATGTGTATTATTGTGGCCAAAAAAAATTAGGGGCAAAGACTCTTCGATCTGCCCTCGTACAAAGAAAGAAAGGGGGACAGTAACAATAGTTGGTTTCACACTGTCATACCATCTCTTTACTGATAGAATTTATCCACAAACTGGAAGTACATAGTTGTTAAACAGATACCAAATAATTCCATTACGTTCAGTGCAGTCTTGGTAATCAGCAGTGCACTAGTCCGACACATGAAATAATCCAGCGTCAGATGCCAGACAGGCGTCCATGACCTTGTTCAGGTTTCTGCAGGCAGTAGAATCTGATTTGTGTTAAGTCGAGCTTCATAAACTGATTTATTTAGACTCTCACTAGTACACTGTTTCAGTTCCTCAATACTTTACATTTTTGTACACTACTTTTTATGCAGTGGTGGATTTAATGTGTACCAAAGATGTCCACTTCTGACAAACATACAGGGTTTGTCCGAAAAGTAATGTCAGTGAGTCGATTAAAAAACTTTTATGGATTAGATCGGTGCAACACATTAAAAGGCTTCAAAATAGGCTTCTTCTGCGTCGATACATCGATTCCAGCGAGATTTCTAGGCATCGAAGGCGTCATGGTAGGCCTCCTCCGGAATGTCCTTTAGAGCCTTGGTGCAAGCCTCTTTGACTTCGCCAACTGTCCCAAAATGATGTCCTTTCATGAGAGTTTTCAAGCGCGGAAACAAAAAGAAGTCTGGGGAGCCACGTCAGGACTGTAGGGCGGCTGGGGAACCGTTGGCACCTTTGAATTGGTCAGGAAGCGGGTCACGAGGAAGGCGGTGTGGGCTGGCGCATTGTCATGGTGAAGTTTCCAATCGTCCGCGATGTCGGGCCGGATGAGACAAACACTTCGTTTGAGTCTCTTTAGCACTTCCATGTAGAATTTGGCGTTGATGGTTGTACCATGTAGTACAAACTCACATTTTCGTCGGTGGTGCTTGTTGATGGCCGTCCAGCGCGGGCTTCATCGTCGACCTCTTCACGGCCTTCTAAAAAGGCCCTGTGCCACCGGTAGACCTGATATTCCGACAAACAATCATCACCGAAGGCCGTCTTTATCATGGGAAAAGTTTCCACTGCAGACTTGCCAAGTTTCACACAAAACATGATGGCAATCCTTTGTTCCAAGGAGCGCTGCATTGCGGCTTGCACGGGAGACAAAAACGAGTTTCACGGAAAAGCCTTTCGTCACTCTCAGGAAGTTCGGAGACGACTAAGCGACCGCGGGTTCATAAGCTGACTTCCCCCTCCACCGATCCCAACCGGTCTGAGAGTGCTGCGACATATAGTCACTTCACAATAAAATAACTGACATTACTTTTCGGACAAACCCTGTAAACATAGAGCTTGAAGTTCTAAAGTGGAAATAAAACTTATTAATTTGGCTAAGAGTATGGTGTTAAATGTGCTGTGATATGCAGTATCAGGAAAAATATGGAGAAGATTGAGTGTCTTGTTAAAAAATGCCAACAGCGGCCCCAGTGATAGGAGGGCTCTAAAGTCTGGCGAGTACCCTGAAGTTGGAGTTGCCCTTTACATTTGGTTCTTACATGAACATAATAGACACATTTGTATTTCTGGGGAAATTATTTGAGAGAATGCAAAATAATTTTACAAAATGATCATGAAACAGATGATTTCAGAGCAAGCAGCGGATGGCTAGATAAATTTAAAAAGCGATTTGTAATCCGTTTTCTAACCATAACTGTAGATATCTCAGCTGTTGATCCTTTTGTGAGTTGAAGAACTAGGTCTTGGGCCAGAGCAGGTGTATAATGCAGATGAAAGCGGCCTGTTTTGGATGCTCTTACTCACAAAATCTTTTGTCCACTGAGCTGAAGAAATTGCAGCTGGGCACAAACTGTCCAAAGACCAAACTATGTTCATGCCTTGTCCAAATGCAAGTGGCATGCACAAACTTGAAAAGCTGGTGGTTGGTAAGGCAGCAAAACCCAAAAAGTCTTCCAGTAATGTAAATGAATCGAAGCTGTGTTGGGGTAACATGAGAAGTGTTTACTGAATAATTCCATGAAAGTTTTAGCCATCAGTAAAAATATTTCTTAAAAAGCAAAATTTACCAGCTAAAGCAGTATTAATTTTAGATAATTCTACTGGACACCCAAGTGAAGAACAGTTAAAATCAAGAGATGGTTTGATAGAGGTAATATTCTTACCGCCAAACTGCACCCGACTTCTACAATCAATGGAGGAGAATGTTATACAGTTTGTGAACTCACATTAAAAAAAGAGTCTTCTTTGCAATGTCATAGAAATAATAATAACAAGGGTTTACTGTATATACTTAGTTCTTTCTGTCTTTACTTCCAGGTCAGTATCCCTACTAGGGGCTTACAGAGCTCCTAACATGAATAATTACAATTTTATATCCTTTAAGTGTTAGTTTCTCAAAAAGTAGAGAAGAGTACAAGATTCTGAACTAAATGGTAACAGATATTTCCTGACATTCTTCTGTCAGTTTAATCATGAATGTAATGCTTGTTCATTACTCTCTGTAATGAGAGTGAGTAATTCATGAGTGAATTTCATGTCATGATAGTTGCACAAATGGAAGATTCTCTGTTAACCTTGTAGTTCCTGCATTTTGTCATTGAAATATCATTGCAGGAGGAGGGATTATATTCACAAAGAGAGGCAAGCCATTATCAGTTTCATCAGCAAACACCAATATCATAATTATGTGAAGGGTCGAGAGATTTGGCAGAAAGCAGAGGCAGCACAGGTATTTGTACCATTGGTTTATGAACTAATGAAAAGAGGAAATAATTATAATAAATTTTGTTATTTGATGACACTGTCAGTATTGAGGCTATATAGTGTCAATAATAGGAAGATTAATGAATAAAGAGCAGTTGGTGGATTGAGAATTGGCAGGGCAGACTGAAGTACTCTTAGATGGCTTTGATTATTTGTGCATGTTATTCGTGGGAGATGACATTAAATGGCCTTGATGCATCATTTGATAATGAGTAGGAATCAAAAGACTATGGGTGAAAGCAGACAATGTTAGTATTATAAAAGCTTATGTAACAAATTTTTAATTTTCTCAGTGAATTCTCAATGAGCATTGCTATGGGTCCCCCCCCCCCACACACACACACACACAGATTAAGGAACATCAGATAAATCTTTGAATCTCTGTACACATAACTTAACTTACTCCTTTTGTTCGGTTCTGTAAAAAAAAAATAAAGGTTACTGAGTTTGAAACCTTTTGGAGCATGTTCAAGTAAAACCTATTTAGGGATCGGACAGGTTTCATTTTAATCACCTTCATAATCTGAGGAAATAATATGAAATTAAAGTAGGAAGTCAGCAGGTTCAATGAACTAGAAACTATTCATGACTTATGTTCCTTCAGGCAAATTCCAGGATAGTGCCATAATTACTTCATAATGTTTATAATTCTGTCATTAGTCACTGAAGATTATATGCCCTTGACATGGAACACAGTATTAACATTTGTCATGTGGGAATAAGGAATTTTAAATCTCCTGGTACCATGAAGCTGGATTTATCTTGGAAATATTGGTAAAAGTAAAAAACGGAAAGCTATCCCTGTACCAGGCCATGAAGGCCCATAGGGTTGTGAGACGTTAAGGGTCCCACATTATCTAGACAATCGGCTCAAAGATGGCAGTAAGGTTGTCAGCCTTATGCGCCAGCTGCACTTTACTCCCCAGGAAAATTATTTAATTAATTCCTGGTACTCATTTCTGCTAAGAGGCTGAGTCGTCCCCAGGGTCATAGTGTGGCTGGAAGGATTAGGTCAATTGAAAAAAGTCCAATGACCTCATCAGGACTTGAACCCGCGACCTTCGAGCTTGTAGCACAGCCCCTCAATCAACTACGCTACCACGTGCCCCGGAAATAATGGTACTGCTATTAAAAATGAAGAGCCAGGATAGTGATGGACTATAAGTTGGACAGCTAGAGTTTGATTCCCAGCAGAGGCAAGAGACTTCTCTCTCCTCCACAGAATCCAGACCAGCTCTGTGGCCCACCCAGCCTCCTATCCAATAGGCAGCAGATGTGCTTTTCTGAGGTGTGGAAGGGGGGGGGGCATGAAGCTTTCCACTCACTCTATCTAGTGCTGAGGTGAAGAATGGTGAAACCACCTCTCCCCCATACACCATCTTGACGTGATGCTTAAGTAATTAAGCACATGGACAACTTTACCTTTAACTTTACTGTTAAAAATACAGTGTGTGGTCAGCTGAACCATACCCTTTTACCACTGCAGGAATGCAGGACACAGCCAATTAAAGGTAAGGAAGTTAGCTCAAGCAGTAATATGACTTGTTGTTTTGGAGATGCCTGGTTCAAATCTCAGCTGGGACAACTGTCCTGGCTAAGATTTTCTGTGGGTTTCCTCAGTACATCCAGGTAAATAAGTCAGTATAGTGACTGGGTGTGGGTTGGACAATCGAGGAGTTGGAGTTTGAGTCCTGGTAAGGTGAAGAATTTTCTCTTCTCAACATTGTCCACACCTGTTCTAGGACCCACTCAGCCTCCTATCCAATGGGTACCAGGGCCTTTTTCCCCAGGGGCTAAAGCAGCTGAAGTGTGAAGCTGACCACTCGCCTCCAACTAGTGCCAAGGTCAAAATGTGGTTCTATACATCCACTCCCCTCTGTGCCTTCATGGTGTAGTGCTTAATTAAGTTAAGCACAGGGATGAATTTGCCTTTTTTTACATTTATATCAAGGTAAATGTCAGAATTCTTGCCAGTTCATTCTTCACTGTCATCTAATCATTGACACTACACAGTCTTCAGTTGCTGACAGCATTCTGAAATGAGCCATGAATAGATAACTAAGTAACACTTTTAATAAACCCAGGAAATGGAATAAATGAGTGTTGGAGGAAGGGACAGTGACATCAGCCACACTGTCCTCTGCCATTTTAATACTAGTGTGTTTATTACTAGGGCTGTAGATTGCCATGCTTGACCTATAATTCCCAGGAAGTGATTGATGTTCATGGTGAATACTATATAACTGAAACCAAGATTATTCAGAGTTCATTTGTGATTCCCTTTGTTTCAAATGAATGAGGGTTTGCTACTGTTTTCCAGATTTCTGCATTGTGTTACAGGTTTGTCCTGGTAGGACTTGGCAATCCATGAAGGAACATTTTATTAAGAAGATAATACCGAACATAAAAACATATCATCTGTCCGAAGAAGAAATTTATAAGTTCCAGAAACCGTAAGTAGTTTTGATACCTACAGTAAATTATAACATATATAAATTATAGTAAAACCCCCATTTAAGGTTTCATTTGAGAGCAGTGGATTGGAACACTAAACAGGAAAATCTTAACACTGAAGTAACTGACCTGGGGATCATAGAGATTGAATGTTAAGTGGGGAAAACCTTAAACTGGGGAACACTAAGTAGTTCTGAAGAAAGCAGTCTTCTGGGATTTGGCACCGTGTATATGTGGTGTTAACCGACGTTTCGGAGGAACGTATCGCCTCCATCTTTAGGGTAGAAGGAAAAATATAAGAAATCCTCAAGCGAAGAGACCGCGAGAACCGGTAAAAACAGAACAGTCTCCAAAACGTCGGTTAACACCACATATACACGGTGCCAAATCCCAGAAGACTGCTTTCTTCATAGTCACCGCCATGAAAGCCTCAAATCTTACACACTAAGCAGTTCTGTTGTACATAAAGAACAGTGGCTGTTGCAGTTCTATTGTAATGGGACCCTGTTAAGTTTTCCAGGGGTCAAGGGGTGAGAAGGAAATTCAGGCTCCTTGTATTGAAAAAGTCTTAACAATTATTATGCTGGACATTCAGAGTCCTTATGCTTATCCCTGCCTGGAATACACTGCAGTTGCATCTTGTGCAGGGATTACATTCTGAAGGCGGCACATAAACCCAAAATTGTGTGTAGCCAGTATTACCCTTGAAAATTCAGTACATCACCCACAAAGTACATGCATTTTATATACCTTGTAATATGTCTGTATATAATGTATTATAATAAAGAGTACATATGCAAGTAAAATATACAGTAATTTTATTTTTAATTACATAAAAGTAGAGAGGGAAGGAGATAGAAAAATAGAAGCAGAATACAGTAAACCTGAACACACAGATACTTAAGCATAGTCAGGGTTTACTCTCACTCCAGGCTTATGCTCACTGAGTGGCATGGTGCACAGAATTGTCCATGGTATTTATTAGTATTTCTCTAATTTTTTTTCTTCTGGCAAGTATTTATGCCGAATTTGTTCAAGTTAAATGTGTGTACGATGCAACTATGTAGTTTCCCAAGTAAGTGCTCAATCTGCGGTGGATCATGACGTAACCTGTATTTAATACATATTTACAATAGTCTTCACATAAACACTAAATTGTTGAGAAAGGATTCCTTTGCTCATGTACAACATTTTGAATCAGCTGGCCTTGCCAGTCTTTCAGTATTTTTATGTTTGTTAGTTTCATTACCTCTTCTGTGTCCGTTGGCTGCCCACATGTAACAATTTCAAACCCACTGACAGATTTTCATGAAATTTGGTACCAAGGGACTTTCTTTAAAAATATCAGTTTTGGTCAACATCTTACAATAGTATCAGCCACTTCAGGCCATACATGAAGACTTACGTGTGTTTGTGCATGCACCTCAGTAACACTGATTTTTTATCAAAGGGAAGAATGTTTCAAACAAATATTATACAGAAAAAATGAAACATATTATGCTTGAGGGACTTTTTCCGTGAGTCTTTGGTTTTCCATTCAATTGAAAGGGAGCAGATTTGCCATGTTGTTACATTATGCATACACATCATGATTGTTAGTTTAGTTTCAGAGTAAGGAAAATAAAGTTATGATACTTCACAGGCTTTGTAATAACAGTAATATGTTTGTCTTCTGATTCTTGTGTTTTCCTTATTCAGCTTCCACTGATGATGAAGTGGCTTTCCAGGACAGGAACATCATACCAGCTGTGATACCAGAAATTGTTACATTAACATTTATTTATATAAAAATAAAACTAACTCTTGTGAAAAACAATAAATCTGGTTCTCTTGTTATTTATCCCTTGTTTTTGCATTGCTGTTGGCATTGCAGGTTTCATTTTTTAGAGTTTAGCTCCTTTGGGTTTTTCCCCCTCCCCCTTCTTTTTTCTTTATAGTAGATTTGGTGATCATATGATAATAATTGCTGGTTGAGCTTCTAATTCTAACTATTCTTTGTTGGGTGGTCTTCTTTCCGTGGCTCGTACTATTTCTAATGAGGTTCATTTGGTTTTGATTTTGCGTTCTTCTGTTTTTCCCCTTTGTGTTTCATTTGATTCATTTCTTGCTTGGTGGAGATGAATCAGCTATTCATGGACTTCAAGAAAGCCCGTGATTCAGTTAGGGTCTTTGAGTTTGGGGTACCCATGAAACTTGTTATGCTGATTAAAATGTGTTTAAAACATCTGTGTATAAATATTTGTCCAGTGTGTTTCCTGTTTAAAATTGTTTAAAACAAGGGGTGCTTTACCACCATTGCTCTTCAGCTTTGCTTTAGAATATGCCATTAGGTTGGGCCATGAAAACCAGATGTGACTAAAATTAAGTGGGACACATCAGCTGTTTGTCTATGCTGATGATGTAAATCTATTGGAAGATAACATAAATACCATAATGGAAAGGTCAGAAACTCTAGATTGCAGTAGTAAGGAGTATGGTCTAGAAGTAAATGTGGAGAAAACTGTATGTTGATGTCTCATTCTCATCACTAGAATTGAGGGCAAGATCATGACATAAAGATAGCTAATAGATCCTTTGAAAATGTGGCAAAGTTCATATATTTGGAAATGACAGTAACAAATCAGAATTTGACATCATGAAATTAAGAGCAGATTGAATTCAGGTAGTGCTTGCTACCATTGAGTTCAGAAACTTTTGTCTTCTCATCTGCTGTTTAAAAACAAAAATTATAATACACAGAACTGTAATCTTGCCTGTAGTTTTGTATGAGTATAAAACTTGGTCTCTGACGTTAAGACCATAGACTGGACATACTTGAGAACAGAATGCTAAGAATATTTGTACTGAAGAGGGATGAAATGGTTGGAGGTTGGAAAAAACTGTGTGTTGAGCATCATAATTTGTACTTTTGAGAGGTATAATTAGAATGATGATGCCAAGGATGAGATGGTCAGGACATGTAGCATGCATGTAGAAAGGGGGGGGGAGAAATTAATTCAGAATGAAAGAAACCTCTAGGAAGACCTGAACTTAGATGGGAGGATATTATTAAAATGGATCTTAGAAAAATAGGATGAAGTGATATGGACTGAATTGATCTGGTTCAGGAGAGGGACCAATGGTAGACTCTTGTAGACATGGTAATGACCCTTCAGGTTCCATAAAATGTTGGGAAATCCTTGAGTAGCTGAGTGACTGGCAGCTTCTCATGAAGAACTCATCTCCATAGAGTTATTTGGCAGGAACAAATCATGAAGATGGGTTCAGGCATTCAGAAGTTGATAAGGGGGATATGCAGACACAGACAGCATGGTGATAACATAAGCCTACTTTTATTTTTTCAAAATAAGGAAAGTAGGCTGAAAATAAAAGTAGCCTTTTGAGATCATCTTGCAGAATATTGTGGCTAGGTGCAATGCGTGTTTGAAACTGTACTTGGAAACCATTCTGTGTAGCTGCAATTGACTCTGTTCTGATAAACAGTTTCATAGCCACAGTGCAGTGTTGCACTGACCAGCACTCTATCTCAACTAAACTCCAAAGAACACTCTACTAGACAGATATTATTGAAGTCCCGCATAATGAGAAAGATGGTAATTACATTTCATAAACTGTCAGGTATTTCTCGTGTATCCTGTAGATGGAGCAGTATGGGAGTTTGACTTTCATGTGAGGCACAGGAAGGTGCCCTGTACCATCATACCTTTCAATAACTACAATACTGTCATATGTTAGTGACTAAACATGGGGTTTAGATTGATAATTGGATTTATTGTACACACACCATGTAATTACACAGGATTACAACACAACTGCTAATCTACATACTTTACAAATCATTATAGCACACACTAAGTCTCAGGCTGTTATAGTCGTTGCTAGTTGTGGCTTGGTAGCAAGTCCCATGGGACTCATATTACTGTCTTATGACTGGAGTTATCCCAGTTATAGCCTTGGCACAGAAAACACTGCACTGCCTACCAATGTCCCAGCAGTTCCTCTAATGTTGCATGTGCATTCATTGCCACAGAGGTGTTTACCATGCTGTTGCCTAGCAATGGTCTCTTCTGGCTCCACTATTCTGGCCTTCAGCCCTCATATTTTTCTTGTTTGCATAAAGGTTACTGGTTGATCTGAGATCATGACTGGCATTTGTTGAAGCAGGATTGTTTGTGGCATTTGTTGAAGTGGAACCATGGCTGGCTTCTGTTGAAGTGGGACCATGGTTGGTATCTGTTGAAGTAGGACCATGGCTGGCATCTGTTGAAGTGGGACCATGGCTGGCATCTGTTACAGTGGTACTATGGCCAGCATTTGTTGAAGCAGGAGCATCCTTAGCATCTGATGTTCCTGGCAGTTGAAACTGGAGTGGGGTTGCCATTTGTTGAAGTGGGATAATGGCTGGCACTCGGTGAAATGGCATCGGTTTTGGCATTGTTTGAAGTTGCTTTAAGGCTGATATGCGCTCTTCCATGTTGCGTATCTAGTGAGAGAACATGACAGAATCATTAACTGTACTCACAGACTGAATGTCTCCCATACAGGAGTATGAAAATATGCATTATGTGCATTTAGCTTTATGTTCGATAGCAGTAGCCATTACTAAGAGTGTTTAGAAGAAGCGTGCCAAAGGAAATATTTTGGCCTAAGGGTTAGGAAGTAACAGGAGAATGGCAGGAACTGCATAAGGAGCTCCATAATATGTGCACTTCACAAAATATTAAGAGTTTTCAAATTGAATATTAGGAAATGGAGGGACATGTTGAACACAAGGATCTGGTTAAAAATGCCTACAAAATTTGCACCTGTAAACCAGAAAGGAAGACAACATATCATGTGTAGGTTGAGATGGGCTGATAATATTAAAATAGATTTTTGATAATTAAGATTTGAAGATGTGGGCTGAGGTCAGCTGCCTCATAATGGTGTCTTGTACTGTGCTGCTGTGAAGCTGATGATGAACTCTGGGTTCCATGAAAGGTTATTTCATGACCAGTTCAGCAACTGTAAGATTCTCAAGAAATCCTATGTTTCATTTCATTATTTATTGGAAACCATTGAAGGTTGGGATATGATATATATAATAAGATGCTTCATAAACATGTCTACAACTTCTTTGTGAACAATATTTGTTTGTGGGATTTGAGGTTCTCACAGCGGTGGTTATGAAGAGTTCTGTCTTCTGGTATGATGCATATAGTCCGTTGATAGTTAACCAACATATCAAAGGTGTATGTTGCCTCCATTTGCCACCTGCATTCACGCTGGTCTCTTGCTTGGCTTATTCTTCGACCCTGAAGATGGAGGCAGCGTTCTTCCAGAATGTTGGATTATGTGGTGTTATGCCCCAGAAGACAGATTTTTTTCAATTTTTTCCCCTCTCAGAAATTCCAAACATAACAAAATACTCTGAGGTTATATTTGACTACTTTTATGTAGTGGAAATCTGTTTCAATTAAACACAGAAGTATGTCACAGATATTTGGAAGCACTGATTATAACTTTTATTATTCTCTCAATACAGATGGAAGCATTTAAGCTTGAAGTGAAATATATATTTATATGTTACATGACATGATATTACTAGCTGTTACCAACCTTGTATGACAAGTCCTGGAATTTAATATCTGCTGCTCCAAATGCATTTATTGACATCGATCTGGTTTCATGATTACCATTGTTGGCCTCCAGTATCATGTTCCACAAATTGTCCATGGATTTTGACACCTGTAAACATTATTAATGATGAACCTGATTTACACACTTTTTTGCATGGTCCTGGCCAAATGCCCAAAACATTAATGTTATACTCCAACAGATTTTATGGTTTTCCCCAAATTTGCAATTTAACTTTCAAGTCATGACTATGAAAATTTACCTTACTTTACATATTGTAGTTCACTTCCTAGATTTCCCTGTTTGATGCAACAGACTTCCTTCCCTGCTAGCAGTCGCAAATGGCTCAGTCTAAAAATACATGCTACCAACTTGCTGATGGTCAACTGCAAGTTATTCGCGTGCATCATGTAACTTCACTAAAGCTAATTGCACATGAGGGGATCTTTCTTCCACTGTACATCCAAACAGTTCGTACATTAGGCCAGACTTGGTCTTCATGCTTCTTAATATAACTAATGCAATGAGAGCAGCGTCTCTCTCATGTCTGATAAGTGTCCCCAAAAATGACCACTAAAACACAGCAAATGTATTTTTGTAAGTAAAACGTTCAACAGACATGGACCCAAATTAAATTCTTCCATCTCTCAGTGCCCATATGATTTCATTTCATAGAGACCAACTTGAATTGTTTATTAGGACGAATTTCACAGCAAAATGATGAAATATGGATAATAAAGGAAAATGGAAATCACTTACAATAAAGAGATAAAATAAATATTTTTGTGCAAGCTGGTGCACATATTGGAACGTGTGTCGAACAGGCATCATGCTTGAATCTTTCAGTGTCCATGCTACACAATGCTGTGAAGAATGTGATGAAGCTGAAAGAAGGTACATCCATTGTGGACCTTTCTCCAAGTAGTGGAAATCACTAAAATGTTTGCCACTGGAAAAACTGAATTCGACACTGCTGCATGGTTCCAGCCAGCACATGAAAGTATGTAGATACCACCCTCAAGGAGTAGGCATTGCACATTGCTACTCCTCTGAGAATTGCCAGCTTATCAGCTTCCAATGGATGGATCGACAGATTTAAGAGAAAACAATATTTACAGAACTCTTATTAAGTGAGAGCAGGAGTGTTGATCTGTTACAACAGGTTTTTTGAAGGCCTTCAATTTAGTTCCCCATGATCGGCTGCTTACAAAAATTGTGTCCTTGGAAGTGGACTAGAGGGTAGTCATATGGATAAGGGAATTCCATTTGGGCCGTACCTAGAAACTGTAGGAGGGCAATTATCAGAGGAATTCAGAGTAACATCAGGAGTACCACAAGGAAGTGCACTGGGTCCACTACTGTTCCTCGCGTCCATAAATGATATTTGGAGAAATACTGAGTCTACTATTCACTGATGACTGTATAATATATATAGGAAAATTATAAATAATAAGAGATATGGAAAAGTTGCAGATAGATCTGAACAGGCTGGGGAAGTTGGCTGTTGAAAATAAGATAATTAATCCAGCTAAAAGCAGGGCAGTTTATTTCATGAGAGCCAAAGTGACGGAACCAATAAAAATTATTTGTTATGGGACATAGTAATTCTGGAAGCGAGCAGTTGTAAATACTTAGGAATAATTGTACACAGAGATCTAAGTTCATCCGATCAAGTTAATTAAACAGTGAAAAAAGTCTGAAAGGCACTCATTTTACAATGTGTATTCTTAAAAAGGGAAATATTAACACTAAAAGTTTAGTCTAAACATCACTAGTGCATCTGATACTTGAATATGGGGCAGTGTGCAGAGATCCTTACAGGAAGGGACAGATAAATGTGCTAGACTGGGTGCAAAGCATAGTGGCTAAATTTGCACATCATAGAAAGGATTCAAACTGGGAAGCCTTGACACAGTGCAGAAAGCGAGCTCGCTTATGTGCTCTCTTCAAAGCGTACGTGGAAGAACAGGCTTGGAAGGCTATAGATGACAGATTACAAAGACCATGCTATCTGAGAAGGGTCAATCACAATAGGAAAATTAGGAGCAGAAAGCAAAACACAGGTATCAGAAAATATTCCTCTGCGAATAGGACCATCCAGCTCAGGAACCAACTACCTGCAGATGCTTTAGGGACTCTAGCTCCCGATTACTTTTTTCTGTTCCCAAAGATAAAGGAAATATTGAAAGGATTGCATTTTGTTGACATTGATGGCATCAGGAGTAATACAACAGCAGCTCTGAAGACCATTCCACAAAACCAGTTCCAAAATTGTTTTGAAGGGTGAACTAGGCACTGGCATCGGTGCATAGCTTCCCAAGGGGAGAAACTTTGAAGGCAACCACAGTGATGTTCAGCAATGAGGTATGTAGCACTTTTACCGTGATGAGTTCACAAACTTTATTTTCAGACCATGTACGTCAATTTGGTGTGGAGAACAATATTATTGTAATGTGCATTGAAGCTGAAAATGAATTATACAGACTGAGCTCAAAGAACAAAAAGAGCCAAACGACTCTTATTGAACTGTTAAAGAAACAGTGTATATATGTACCATAATTGCCAGTTATTCCAGGCAAATGCTAGGATAGTGCCTTGAAATAGGCCATGACCACTTCCCTCTACATCCTTTCCACAATCTGTTATAACCACCATCACATCTTACTGGTGCCACATAAAAACAACAGCTGATAAAGGACCATAAAATAAACCAAACCCATATTTGCATCTACATATCTATAGTTAAGCATCCCAACATGTTTTTTTAATGATCTTCAAAAGTTATGGTATAAAGGGAACCAAATTTTCTTTACATGATGTCATTCTCATTTCCCTGATTTTACATGTGGTCCATCAGAAAGTATAAAATTGAGGTTTTACTGTGACTATTTCTTATCCATGGATTCTCTGCCCTCTAAGAATATATACATTTTCTTGTTTTTGGTATTTATTTTCATTTAATTAATTAATTAATGTCACCATCACATGCAAATAGCAGAGCTATTTCAAATTCTTCTACATTATTGAATTTCCTGACATACTCTAAAGAAAACTGAAAAGCAAATGGGATTAGTGACCCCTTGTTTTTGACTGCTGTGAATTTAAAATGCGTCAGATGAACGTTTATTTAAATGATGTTTACAGCAGTTTCAAATAAATTTAATTAATATAAAAAACTTTCGAATATTCTGAATTCGCTCAGGATGTCTCGGGAATTGTAATTCTCATTCTCTTCATTTTGTGAACATATTTTTTTCATGTTGTCTGTTGTTTTAATAAGGAACTGAGAACTGTGTCACATGGCCAAAATATTGAACAGTAACTGTAAAATTATGAATCTGTCATGCACCTAGCTAAGAGACTTTTAGTGCTGTCAACAGAATCGTGGAATCTCATCATCATTGTACTTGATTATTTAATTGGCACAAGATGGAAGTGAGTGGTCAGCTTCATACACCTCATGCTTACCTCCAGAAATAAGCCCCTAGAACCCACTGGATAGGAGGCTAAAATTTTTGCCAGAGTATTTAAAAACTGGAGCCCATAATTAAGACATATCAACAAAGGATTTAGGGAAAAAATTCTTCATATGATTTAACACCAATAATTGGGATGCACTGAAATGGTATATTCTTTAAACGCCTTTCTTGTATTTTTCATCAATATTCATTGCTTACGTACCGCCTCACTATGCTCCAACAGGTTTGTCAATCTCTCAAACATAGTATTTATCACTTTCCTTATGATTCTTCTATCTTCTTCATCCTGTGAACAAAAAATATATTTTTCATGAGTTCTGATGTTTTAATAAGGAACTGCGAACTGTGTCACGTGGTCAAAAGATTGAATAGTACCTCTAGCATTATGACAGTGTCATATTTTATCAGAATTATCACAGTCTCAACTTGTTGGTCCTCCAAGGGGCTTCCTCATCGAAACTGTATGCAGATCTTGATTCTTCCACTTACAGTTCATTATTATCTTATGAAAATACGATGTACTGGTACATGCCACTTTTGAATTTATATAGTTCGTACTGTCCATCTCTAACTAAAATATTGCATTTTCTCATGCCTCCAAGTAAAAACTCCATCTGATGCATGTCACCTTCTGTTTCTTAATGAAGATAATATTATTTAATAGGAATGTAAATACAATTTTTGTGGGGAGTATTTCAAAATTGACACACACACACCTAGACTTTACAAAAAATGCTGTAATTTTTAACTCCATATGTCACATTGCACCTGAAATCATATATTCTTTAAAGGCCCAGTTTGCATCTTTCATCAGCATTCATTTCTTACTCACCTTCTCAATACGGTCCTCCAGCATTCTCAGTCTCTCGGACAAAGTATTTATGGTGACCCTTATGGATTCATTACTGTCTTCTTCCTGTGAACATAAGATATGTTTTTCGTGTGCTGTGTAGTTTCAAGAAGGAAATGAGAACTGTGGTGCCACATGATCATGAGGTTGAATAGTAACTGTAACATAATGATTTTGTTAGATATTTTAGGTATAAGATTTTTTTTAAGATTTTCAACAGGATCAGGGAATCTGCCCTGGTTGGTCTTCCATATTGCCACCTTTGAAGAGTTTCTGACATCCATACTGTATGCCTCTTGTTCCTTCCACCAGAACTTCATGTTCAGCTCAGCGCTATGACAGTACACTGTACAGGCACATGCTGCATCAGTTTATATTTACAGTACTGCCCCCTTTTAATATAATATTGCATTTCTGTGATGACCCTAAGTAATGTGTTTATGACCTGTGTATGTTGCCTCCTGTTTCTTACTGGAGACCATATTATGTTTAGTGAAATGATGATGAAAATATATTCATTATAATAAAATTTCAGAATGATAGTGCAGTACATGTGAAAAAATAAGAACTAACAAATTTTACTGTAAAAATAATGACAATAAACTATAACTTTGATATAACTAATAGTGAGTAACACAATATAACATGTGGAATGAAATTGGTTTGAAGAATATTGCTGCTGGACACTACTGTTGCTTACACCGAATCAATGGTGAGATAACTCTCAAAATTTTAAAATCATTGCCACATTTTTCCCCACTTCATTACTAACCACAGCGCAATAAACAGCCACTTCTCAGGCAGGCAGATATGGCAGCTCAGCTATAAGGGCACAGTTTTTTTTATTGCTAGTGGGGTGGGACTAAATCCCTTGTACTGTGGCCACTTCTGGCCTATTGTATTGATTGTGGAGCAGTTGGTGGAATGAAGATTGGCAGGGGAAACTGAAGTACTTGGATAAAACCTGCCTCAGCGACACTTTGTCCACCACAAATCCCACTTGACCAGACCCGGGATCGAGCCCGGGCCACCGCGGTGGGAAGCCAGAAAATAACCGCTTGAGCTATGGTGTGGCCCATAGGGCACAGTTACTCGTACATCTGTTGATTTGAGTTGCCCACTCATTAAACAGCTCGCCAAGTCAAAATATGTGTTTACATTTTCACCTGCCCTTTCCACTCAGTTCTGCAGAAATTGTGACGAATGTCTTAACAGACAAGCAATCCATGCAGTTGTTTATGCAGGGGATTTAGTCATGTGGCAGTGATGTTACTGAATGAAGGGAATCTTCTACTTCTGTTAAATCAAAGTGTATGCTAATTTACTGCAAGAAATGTGTTGTTCGACTCAGATGGACCAATGTAAACGCACCTCAGTCATACTGATTCACTTGCCAATTGATGTTCACACATAGCTTCAATTTTCAATTCTGATCTTCAGAGTTGAGGTCATATCATTGACCAGGGTAAATGTGCTGTAAGTGATGCTGTTCTGCAGTAGCAGGGTGGATGTATTGGTTGGCTGTTCCTTTTCAGTTTCTGTTTTGATAGGGGATGAAGTTTCTCTCAGAAAACACAATAGCCATGAAAACTATGTATATTCTGGTAGTTCCCCATAATGAGCATATCCTTACAAACCTTTTTAACTCTTCAGCCCCCCCCCCCCAACACTGGTCATGCCATGGTGGATTTTGAAAAGGTTTTGTTATATTGCTTGGTGATTTTTCTTTTATTATAATTATAATTATAAATTATGTTATGATTACATATTTTCATAGCAAAACAGATTTTTATTGTGTTAAACTGATACTTTCAGAACAGTGTTTTCTGTTAAACTGAAATATATTTACATAAAGTTCTAAATTAAATTGGCAGTGTTCAGAAAAATATTTCATCTTTCTGAAAATTTCATTACATGAAATGTTTGCTAATGTGTCACTTCGCTCTATGCAGAACATTAATAATTTCTATTGTGTGAAATATTTCATAAAGGGAGCACCATTTTCAGCAACATACCTATGTAAATTCTAACAAATGAATTCTTGGTCTATTTCATTCCGCAAGCATGCAAGTGCCTAAAATGACACCTCTAAATGCCTGTTTTGTACTGTTCATTACAATTCGTTGTCTAAATACCTTTTCAACCTGGTCCTCCTCCAGAAAGTCCAGACGCCTACGCACACCAGGATTCAATTTCCTACCTCCTCCTTTCTGTGAATGTAAGAAATCATACCCAAATTCTCTGTATATTAATAAGGAACTGAGAATTGTGTCACATGCTCTAGAAGTTGAATAGTAATAGTACCATTAGGATTTTGTCTTTCACATCAAGAACAAGGCCTTGAACATAGTCAACAGGATCATGAAATGTCTTGCTGTCCTTCCAAGACGCCACCCTTGAAGAGAGTTCCACTTGCATACTGCATAACTACCTGCTCAGATTCTTAATATTTTCCCTTTTTAATAAAGTACTGCATTTCTCCCATGTCCCCAAGTAAAGACTATCAGATTTGTATGTCACCTACCTTTGCTTAATGCAGATCATGTTACTTAGGTGCAATGTAAATACAATTTCTGTGGGGACTATTTTTAAAACCAGACCCCATATCACACACAGATTTTAGGAATAAATTCTTTGTTAGTTTTAACTAATGTCACACTGCATCTGAATTAATATATTCTTTAAATGTTTTTTATATCTCTCATCAACATTGTTTACACACCTTGATATAGTCCACCGGTTCTCTCAGTCTCTTTACCATAGTGTGTATAACTTCCCCTATGAATTTATTACCATCTTCGTTTTGTGAACATGAAATCGTTTTTTTTGTGCACTCCGTTGTTGTAATAAGGAAATGAGAACTGTGGTGCAAGGACATGAGACGGAATAGTAACTGTAACATCGTGATTTTGTCAGACATTTTATATCCGAACTACTGAAGTTGTCAGCGGGATCAGGGAATCTGCCCTTGTTGGTGTTTCATGTCACCACCCTCGAAGAGTATCCCACATCCATACTGTATGGACCACTTTTTCCTTCCACCTGAACTACATGTTCAGCTCAGCTTTATAACAGTATGCTGTACAAACACATGCTGCATCAGCTTATATTCTTAATACTGCCCTGTTTTAATATATAATATTGTATTTATGTGTTGCCCCTAAGTAATGTGTGTATGACCTGTGTATGTTGCCTCCAGTTTCTTAATAGAGACCATGTTATGTTCAGTGAAATGACAATATAATGGAAATATGTGGTGGTGAAATTATATTCATTATAATTAAATTTCTCATGACTGAAAGACATTAAAAATATCAGAGAGTTCAGCACGTCTAAAAAAAATAAAAAGGAACCAATTTTACCATAACAACGAACTAGTGACAACAACAACAATAACAATGAACTATAACTTTATATAACAGTGAGTAACATATTGCAGATGGTTTATTTAGTCTTTTTCCAACATTGCAAAACCACTGACCAAACTCATGGAAGAGAATCAAACCCTCCAGTGGACTCCAAAGGTGGTGACCACCTTCAAAATGCTAAAGGGAGCCCTGTGTGCTGCCCCTATTCTTGTATTTACATAAGGATCTAAACTGAATTGGTGGTGTCCAGAAAAATATTTCACCTTTCTGAAAATTTAATTACATGGATGTTCGTTAATATGTCATTTTACTGTATGCAGAAGATTAATAATTTATTTGTGGTTAATAATTTTTAATAATAATTAATAATAATAATTAATAATTNCAGAGTGGTTTGAACGGCTGTTGTACTGCGATGTGGAAAGCAAATGGAAAAACTACCACATTATCACTTTTCCTGGATAGTCTCTTTCCAAAAACAGAAGATCACATTAAGTGGAGGAACTGTTTTGGAAGAGACTGTGGACCTGTCATCTGACAGTTACTGATCAATCAATCAATATATAAAAAATGGAGCACCATTTTCAGCAACTTACCTATGTAAATTCTAACAAACGAATTCTTAGTCTGTTTCGCTCCACAAGTATGAACATATCTGAAATGACACCTTCTCTAATGACTGTTTTGTACTGTTCATTACAATTCGTTGTCTAAATACCTTCTCAACCTGGTCCTCCTCCAGATAGTCCAGACGCCTACACACACCAGGATTCAGTTTCATATCTTCTTCCTGTGAATGTAAGAAATGATATCGGAGTCTTCTGTATATTAATAAGGAACTGAAAAGTGTGTCACATGCTCATGTCTAGAAATCATTTCAGAATTGGAGATCATGATTGAGAATAAATTTAAATACATATGCAGGAAAAATTATTGATAAGTTTCAACTCCATAAGTGTGATTGCTTCTCAAATAGTATATTCTTTAAATGTCATTTTTTCTACTGTACATCACAGTTCATTGTCTACATACCATCGCAATATGGTCCTCCAGCTCCCCCAGCCTCTGTAGGATACACATCGCTTCTTCGATTTCGATGTCATAAGCCTCTTGTTTCTGTGAATGTAAGGTCAAGAGATCAAATAGTAAATGTAACATTATGACACTCTCTTACCTTTCAGATATGAAACTTGTAACATTATTAGAATTATCACAGAGTCTCAACATGTTGGACCTCCAAGGGGCCAACCTTGAAGGGGCTTCCTCATTGAAACTGTATGCACATCTTGCTTCTTCCACTTATGGTTCATCATAATCTTGTGACAATGTGACATACTGGTACATGCCACATTGAATTTATATGTTTCGTACTGTCTATCTCTAACTAAAACTTTGCATTTTTGTCATGCCCCCAAGAAGAGACTGTATCAGTTGTGTATGTCACATTCTTTTGCTTAAGATCATATTACTTAAGTGGAATGTAAGTACATTTTTTGTAGGGAGTAATTCAAAACTGGAGCCCATAACAGACATATATGTAAATGGATTTTAGGAATATTTCCATTGTAACTTTAACTCCCTATGTCACACTGCATCTGAAATTGTACATTCTTTAAAGTAGTCTTATGTGAATGTTAAAGTTAATCTACCGACCACACAACACGTTTTTTATTTACTGCCACACTACATGTTTCGACCTCAGGAGGTCATCATCAGGTGTACGAACACAATTTCACAATCACACGCAATCACTNGTCTTATGTGATCTCCATCCTGTCTGTGCAGCAGTGTATCACCCCCAAGTAACTTTTGAATGTCTGAACCAATCTTTATGAAACTTGGTATGTATATCATGACACCAGAGTCCACCTCAAAAGCATACTTCATAAATCCCTCTCAGTAGTGAGTGTGTCTGTATGTATAGCCACCCTTTGTTGCTAGGCAATGGCTAGGTAAAAACATTACCATGGCAACAAATACATGACAATAGACAAATTATTGGATGCATCGTTTTTAGGTGGTCCATAATTCTTCCCAGAACTTCTTGTTTGTATTTTCATCGACACTCACTGTTTACATACCTTCTTGATATCGTCCTCCAGCTTTCCCAGTTTCCTGCTAATAGCATTTATGTCACTTATGAGTTTATTACCCTCTTCCTTCTGTAAGCATAAAATACATTTCTCATGTGCTGTGTTATTATAATAGGGAACTGAGAACTGTGCCACAAGGTCATGAGATTGACTAGTAACTGTAACATCATGAATTTGTCAGACATTTTAGGTACAAAACTTCTGAAGTTGTCAACAGGATCAGGGAATCTGCCTCGTTTGTCTTTTGGGTTACCACCCTTGAAGAGTGTCCCACATCCATACCATATGCACCTCTTGTTCCTTCCACCTGAACTTCATGTTCAGCTCAGTGCTATGACAATACATTGTACAGACATATGCTGTTTCAGTTTATGTTGTGACATAATATGACTATTTGCGAGGCAATATTCGGTAAACATGTTCTCGAAGTAACACAGTCAACAGCAGGACCTCAGCTGCTGGCACTCTTGGGTTTCAGATAATAGGGAATTAGTTTTTATCTTACAGTTTTATTCGTGGGGGTTCTCCCATGAAAGTCTGTGGCCATGACCCTTGTGTACACTCTCATATCTCTCTGTAATGATCGCGCTTTTAAGACTCTTTGGAAGTCCTTTATCTTTCTGTCTCCCACATGCAATAGCAGATTTCATGAAGTATGCATCGTACTGTTTAGTGATTTTACTTTTGCATGTCTCATTATACTAATTAAATATACTTGTAGTGGGATGGACCTTTATTGCGGCACAATTTACACATATATTATATTGGTATAATGGTATCTGTTAAAGTAAAGCATTTTAGCATGAAGATATATAGTACAGTGGAGGGGCCCAGAAAAACATTTAATTTTACTGAATATTTTGTTATATTTCACTGTATGTTGAACCTTATTAATTTTTGTGGGAAAAGAAAACAGGAGACCCTTTTTAAGCTACATATATACATACATTTTAACAAAAAGATCTTAGTGTGCTTTAACTCCTAAGTACGAAACTATATAAAATGACATCTACATACATTCATGATGTGGCCTGCCTTTAGTTTTTTCAGTCTCAGAGACATAACAGTGTTGAATTCCACGTCTAGAATCTGTGAACATAAGAAATCATATTCATATTCATGTGCTCTGCATATTGTGACATGATGGCAAAAAGCCGGACTAGTGGATCCAAAATAGTCATCCCTTGCTAGACAGCGGCATGGTAATTACATTTATATGGCAACCAAAACACGGTCCCATGTCAACGATACCTGGGCCATTGCTGTGCGACAGCCCACTTAACACGTCACTCAACAGTATAGGAATTCTTGGAAGCAGTGTCTTCCATGCAGTCTGTTCAAGGACATCAGCCAAGAGTCAGTAACCAGGGGTCAGAGTTGGCAGTTATCTCATGAGTTGCAAATGAACAGTGGCAGTTTGTGGTTGGCCGTAAGGAATCTCCATTGTTAGCAGCTGCTACCTGGCATTGACTATAAACTTATGACAGTATGGTGTACTGGTAGAAACTGCTTTTGAATTAATATTTTCAATATTGTTCCTCTTTAATTAAAATACTGAACTTCTCTTGTGCTGCCAAGTAATATGTGCACCATGTGTGCATGCTAGGTCCTGTTTCCTAAAACAAACCGTAGTGCATAAATTAAAACTAGTCAAACAATTTATGGAAAATATTCCAAAGTAGGAGACCCATAATTCGGAAGAAATGTACATACATTTGAAGAATAAGTTCTTGGTATATGTTAAATTTGTAAGTAGGAAAACTTAAATTGTATCTTTTAAATGCCATTTTTTTCTCTCATAACTATTTATTATTTAGATATATTCTCGAGGTAATTTTGCAGTTTTTGCATCTACTGGATAAATTTAATCTGAAATCTTCATTGTCTGCTTGCTGTTTACCTTTTCACAAATAGAAGGTCATAATAAAAATCATATACTTTCCTAAGATCTGTAGCATCAATTATATCAGGATTTTCCGCACATTAATTGGCACTATTGTTTTCTTCTACACCATATGTTGTGTCATCTGCCTTGTTATTACTGATTACACAATATTAGAAATTAGAAGGTTGGTGCAGCCTTGAATGGCACAATGTTCACACCAAATTCCATAAATATCGATCAAATGTTGAGAGGGGAACATGCAGATCAGATATGCATATTTTATTCTCTAAGAGAGGAATAATGGCTAACAGGGTAGAGGTAATTCTTTTTTATCTGCCCATGTGATTATATTCATGCAATTCCTCCTCTCTGGCTGTCCTGAATTTCATAAAATTTGCTACATTTATATGTATCTACCAGGTGTATCTTTTATATCCCATATACTTGCATCCAATTTAAAACAGTTGCTTGAAATACTTGAAGATACTTGCACGTTTTATCACTTGTAATTTGAGAAATATATACTGATTTGTTGATTTCTTTGACATATTTGTACTGGTGAGGACATGACAGATAAATTGTTATGAAAAGAAATTCATATTACTTACATTGTTCCCTCTTGATCCAAAGAATGGTAGAGTAAACTTAGAAACTATGGCCCTTATGATGTTCATGCCAGAAGAGAATTGGACAGTTCACTGCAGAGATATTAGATTCCATTAGATTAGATGTGATGGACTGACAGATTGGTAGGTGGAGGGATAAACGTTATTTTAAATATATAATGATGGATAGATGCGCAGATAGACCCAGTGGATAGAGGTGGAGGGTTGGATAAATAGCTGGATATCTAGACGGATGGGGGGCATGTGGTAGCATAGTTGGTTGAGGCACTATGCTAGAAGCTGGAAGGTTGCAGGTTCTAGTCCTGATGAGGTGGATTTTTTTCAATTTACCTAGTTCTTCCAGCTGCACTATGGCCCTGGGGTTGACTCAGCCTCTAACAGAAATGAGTACCAGGAATCTTCCTGGGGGTAAAGGGGAGCGGGTATGTAAGGCTGACAACCTTACTGCCATCTGTACTGTCACACAGGTTAATCTTCTGGCAAAATTCAGCAGACAGAAGTAAAGCACTGAACAGCCAAAGACAATATTTCAAATAAATACAGGTGTTAAAACAGAGAGTCTCCTGTAGAAACTTATTTCAGAAATTTAATATACTTCTGCTTGCAGGCAAATACATATTCTGCTTACTATCGTTCGTGGAGGAAAAATTAGGAAATGTTCAAAGAAATATAGATGTATGCAGTTTAGACATAGTATGTAAATATGAGCTTCATATGCCAACTGCTGGCCTCACTAATCAAGGAGCTCTATACTACTCTCGTATACACATATCAAGCTATTCAATAATCTTCTACTTACAATTAAATGCTTAAATTATGGTATAAAATTGTTCAAGCCTGCATTAAAAGATTACCTCTTTTACTTCTATTAAAAACTGCCAAGCTTTAGGCATATCTATGTGAAATGTGTTTCTTTTGTACTTGTAAAAATACTTAAGCTTTAAATACATATATGTATGTGAAATAAGTTTCTGTACTTGTATTATGACATATTCTACATCCTTTTGTTTAGCCCAAAGAAGGATCTATGAAATGCAAATAAACTGTACTGTACTCTATACATCTTTCCATGCAAAATCATTCATCCACATACTGATACCTACTTACAGAACAGAAGCAAATTCACTTCTTGCTTGGCTGAAATACACTGACTGAATAAAACTGACTTCTGTGAGTCAGAGAACAAAGGTATCCATAGTAACAATGACACAATTAATCACTAATCCCATATGTGTTACCAGGTTACATGTAACCAATAACATTGTTGGTTCTCCTTCCTACTGTTGCATTAATGTCAGCCAACTAACTAATTGATCAAGACTAAACATACAGGGTGTTTCACGACTTTAGGGCATAACTGCAGGAGGTGATTTCCTAGGTCTTTGTGATCAAAAACATTCATATAAACATGTGTCCAATTTGGACGGTTACAGAGTTATGACCGTTTTTTCATTCCTGTAAACGCCCTTGTAAGAACCACGTCTGTCATCTGGCAGGTCGCTATTTTTAGCCAGCTACAGACAGAGCGTTCTCGTTATCTCGACACATGAGAACTACCTAAGGCTGGGTGGGTTGGCATGTCCGGCATGGTTCACAATCAAGCGGCATTCTGTGTTGTGGCCGGCGGTGGCATTTTCGAAAATCAGCTTTAAGCACCAATCAATTCAAATTAAAGGTAATTTCACGAAGTTACCTTTACAGTCATACTTTAAATGTATCATGTATTATGCTTGTTTATTATTTTGTTCCGTTTATTGTCAGTAATCGTTACCTTCTATTCTGAGTTTAAAACGGTCATAACTCCGTAACCGTCCAAAATCGGACACATGTTTATATGGACTTTTTTGATCACAAAGACCTAGGAAATCACCTCCTGCAGTTATGTCCTAAAGTCGTGAAACACCCTGTATATGAAGGGAAGTCATAAAATTTTAATTATCACCCAGAAGAAACAGAGACACAGGTGAAAGGAACTGTATGTGAGTTCGTTCTTCTCTACATATGCCCTCTGAAGACCACATATTTTCCCCAATGATGCACTAGCTGCTGGATACCTTGACCATAGAAGGTCTCATTTTGACCGTTTAGGAAGTCCTCCACTGCAGAGATGACGCCATCATAGTCTTGGAATCACTTATCACAAATTGGCATCTTTAGCCATGGAAAGAGCACGAAGTTGCTCGGTGCCAGGTCTGGTGAATATGGGGGAGAATTTCATATCCAAAACCATCAACAAATATAGTCATAGCATGAGCCAGTGCGTTGTCGTGAAGAAGTAGTACAGCTTTTCCCACCATCCCGCGTCGCTTTTTCTTTATTTCATCCCGTAATTTTCTCCGAATGTTCCGGTGGTACTCGCCAATGATAGTGACGTCCTTTTGCGTGTAATCGGTCATGAATACACCACACTCAACAGCACCTTTCCTGACAACGGCTGTGATTTGGCCTTCTTTGGTGGCGGCGAGTCTGCATGTTTCCACTGCTTGCTCATTTCCTTTGTTTCAGGGTCATAATGATGGACCCAGCATTCATCCATCGTGATCAGGCGGTCGAAAAATTCCACCTTTTCATCTTGACACAACTGCAAAAGTTTCTTTACCACATCCATCCGTTGCTGTTTTTGAACTGGTGTCAACAATCGTGGCACCCAACGCGCAGTGACCTATGTAGTGTGTAAATCGTCATGATGCTGAAAACCGACCCATGGCTAAAGTGGACCTTATGAACAATAGCTTCAAGACATTCAACTCTCGATTATCCGGGGACGGATAAACCGGTTTGCGGCTTAACCGGGGCTTTTTTGAGGCTTATACATTCACTTCTGTTACACATTGTGAGTCGTAACACTATGTTCGCACTAGTGTGAACCGAGTTCTGCATTTTTTGGTCCCCTACCAAGGTACAAAGGTATCCATGGTAACAATGACAAAAATAATCACTAATCCAGTATGCGTTACCAATTTGCATGTAACCAATAACACTGTTGGTTCTACTTGCTATTGTTGCCTTAATGTCAGCCAACTAACTAAATGGTCAAGATTATGGCAGTAGAGAGGCATATGAACATATACCAGGTGAAACAATTAAATTCCCAGAATGGCCTTGTCAAAGCAAAATTTGCTTATCTGCTCACTAGCGGCTGCTGTCGAATTCGAAATACTCTCCTTGTGAAGCTATACACTTCGTCAGACGATGGTGTCATTGCCGGAAACAGTCTTGAAAATCGTTCTCCGGAATACCTCACAATAACGTCACGTTGCGTTGGATGTCGAGAAGGTCAGCAAATCTTTGTCCCTTCAGGGTATTTTTTAATTTTGGAAAGAGTAAAAAATCGCAGGGGGCTTAGTCATTTGAATAAGGTGGATGGTCCGTTTTTGTAATGGATTTCCTAGCCAGGAACTCGCGAAATCTTAACGCACCCTGCGCAGCGGCATTGCCATGGTGGAGAATCCATTTGTCAGACGAGAGTTCGGGTCTTTTCCTCCGAACAGATTCCCGTAACCTTGTCAGCATTTCCAAATAACACTGTTGATTTGCCGTTTGTCTTTGTGCAATGAATTCATAGTGAACTATCCCCTTGTGATCGAAGAAACATATAAGCATGGTCTTGAAATGCGAGCGAAACGTTCGTGCTTTTTTTCGGCTGAGGTGAATTCTATGCTTTCCACTGCATGCTCTGGCGTTTTGTTTCCTGGCCGTATTGAAAACACCACGTTTCATCACCGGTAATGACCCTATCAAACATCTCTGCATTTAGTAAAAGATCAGACGAAATGTGAAGCCGACGTTGCTTCTGCTCATCTGTCAAGATTCGAGGTACCATCTTTGCAGATAATTTTCTCATCCTAAATCCCCCATAATATTCTGTCGCACTTTTGCCCTAATCATAATGAAGTCTTCTGCTATTAGTTTCACACTTTATCTTCGATCTGAGCGTACCAATGTTCGTACCCTGTTCACATTTGCAAATTTTCTTTGCGTTTTTGGCTGCCCATTTCTTGGGTCATTTTGCACATCCTCTCGCCATTCCTTGATCCGCCTATGCCAATCAAAAACACTCAATTTCTTTATAGCATTTCACCATAAGCCACTGTTATGCGGCTAACGTTTCATTAGCATCTTTACCAGTCTTCACACAAAAGTTGATGTTTATCAGCTGCTCCAGAATTTTGTCACTCATTTTTCCGCGAACAGTATACCACGAACACGTACTACTTTCTGTGCTGCTTGGGAACGAACGACTAATTTGGTCTGTGGCTCATGTAAACGCAAGTTGGAACATGTCTGAACCTTCTTCAGTATATGATGCACATGATTTTGCCTGACTCAGCATCCCAGCGAAACGCTTCTGTTATTTCGTGAATGTCGTATGTAGATAAGTTTCTATTAATGAATTGTGTTTATGAATTCCACTCCATATAACTGTCATACAAACGTACGTTAATGATTGGAAATTGTTTCCCTGAACGTGCTAACCTGCTCAATTATCTCGTTCTTAATCACGACAGTTGTAGTTCATACAAATTTATTGCCAAAGCTTTAGTTTCGGATGTGATATCGCTACTAGGTAATAGCTTGATAGCGTTCCTGTGTCAGTGAAGGATTGTTGAAGGCATCGTTTTCTATGTGGTCTGTGTTATATCAAACGAAACAAGGCGATTCGCTCTTCTGAGAATTTCTTGTTACATTACTAAACAATCTGCGTGGCAAGATTTAAATCCCACCACCTAACCTGATCAATCTTGACGGAGAAGTTTCAATTTTGGGTCTCGAACTCCGACCTCTCGATCTTCCAGCCTGTAGCCAGTTGCTGTACCGACGATACCGACCATACCGACTAAGCTATCCCAGCACTAGGCATATGAGGAAAAGAAACAAACAAAAACAAACTCCGTGGCTTTAGTCCGCAAGCGAATTCTACCGACCGAACGACCACCGTTTGTCGGCGAAGTTTGTGTAAACTTTAGCTACGATGTGGATAAACATAAAAATAAAAGGAATAACCACTCTTAACAGAGTTTCACCTCTAAAGCTGTAAATAATCTTGTACTTTATTTATGCTAATAATAAGAAAAAAGTATTCAGCGTTGTCCATGATTAAAATGAGTTGCATATTTATTCTTAGTAATCTGTGATTGCGTCTGCCCGGTTTAATTTGTTCTTCGGCGGGAAAGCATGCAATGGTGAACATGGTGAAGAACACTGAAGAGGTTGAGTAAAGCTGTATAAAATGCAAGCATTTTTGAAAACCGGAAAACTCAGTGGAGGTCAGGGAAGTTCATCAACAACGAAGGAAAAATCATGTTCATCAGGAGTGTCTAAGAAGAAACCGTCGCTTACACCATGGGTGGAGAAGTAGTAAGTTGATGTTTTAACCTAAAAAATTATGATGATAATACATGGCTTATATGTAACATGCGGGGTTGTAATAGAATATAATGTTTTTTTTTTTTAATCTCGTGTGCTGTGTTGAATGAGTGGATTTATAGCCTCGTGATTTTTGTTTATGTTTTCAGCCGTCCTCAGACAGTGAACGATGTTGTTGAACAGAATGATGTTGTACAGGTAATGAGGCAATGTCTGAATGGTGCTGATTTGCCAAATCTACTTTTCTATGGTCCTCCAGGTACTGGTAAAACGAGCACGATTTTGGCCGCTGCTAGACAACTTTTTGGTGATATTTATAAAGATAGGTCAGTTGATACTCATATTTTCATATAATATTGCCATATCTGCTTTCATTCCAAAATTTTGAACCTTTAGCCAAGATTGGAAGTGTATTGTAAATTCTTTTAGTGCAAAAATGGTACTGTTTGAGCCAAAGGACTAATTCAGTTATACAGAGTGTTCATTATTCAGGCTTATCAGACGTCCAGGGAACTTCCGAGAATTTGCTCTCAGCAGATGCTCTAGCACCGACCGGCAAACGGGCGGTGATTCATGCGCTGATTCAGTCTGTGTTTAGCCTTCAAGTGTTTCAGAAGCTAAGTATAGTGCATTATTCTGTGACTTTATTATGGTTCGTGCGAGATACAGTTTAGAAAAAAGAGTTTTCATTTATGATTGTTATGTGAAAACACACTCATACAAATCATGCAGGACAAAATTTCGGCATAAATTTCCCGAAACAACATGTCCATCTGGGGATACAATTTCCAAATTAGTGAAGAAAGTTCGAACCCACGGCATTTTAATTGACAGAAAGCCGTTAAAAAGAAATCGTGTTTTAACTGAGGAAAAACTTGATGACATCGGTCATCGATTAGAAAATTCTCCTCGAAAATCTTTGCGGCGATTAGCACAACAAAGTGGTGTTTCTTTAGGCAGTGCATGGACAGCAACTAAACTGTTGCATATTCGTCCGTATAAATTTACTGTTGTTCATGAAATTAAACCTGTGGATTATGAAAAAAGAGTGAGGTTTTGTAATTGGTTTATCAATCATGTGCATGACGGACTTCTGGATCCTAAGCTGACATTTTTCACAGATGAGGCTAATTTTAATCTCTCGGGATATGTTAACTCACAAAACAACAGGTACTGGAGTAGTGAAAATCCTCATGCGCTAATTCAACTTCCCCTTTACGACCAAAAGATAGGCGTATGGTGTGCGGTTAGCGCACACCGTATCATTGGACCTATATTTTATGAAGGAACTCTTGATGCTCAACGATACATTAATGAAATACTCAACCAATTTTTCGTTAATTTGGCACCTGCAGAAGAAAGATTCGGTTATTTTATGCAAGACGGCGCGACTCCACACACAGCTAAGGAAACTATCCGAGCATTACGCGGTGTGTTTGGGGAATTAAATGGTGACGATAGAATTGTTAGCAAGGGTTTGTGGCCCCCTAGATCCCCAGATCTAAACCCCTGTGATTTTTATTTGTGGGGAAAACTAAAAAATGTTGTGTATGCCAACAATCCACATGACTTGGAGGCTCTAAAACAAAATATTCGGGAAGCAATTGACAACATCCAGCAACGTGAATTGCAACAAGTTTCCCAAAATCTGTTTAAAAGAATTCAGGCATGTCTCACAACAGAGGGCAGACATTTTGAACATCTTCTATGATGGTGAGTACAATATTAATTACTATATTTGATTAATAATTAGCGGAAGAAATAAATAATGTGCGCTAACAGTTCCGGCCGCGCGACAGCAATTTCCTCGGCAGGTGGCGCATCGCTTTCGCATGAAGTTGCCGACGGTAAAATCAGTGTCGAATCAGCCTCGGCTATGAACACTCTGTATATGAATAAGATATTCAATAGTTCAAGCTGGATAATGTTTTAAACACAATGATATGGTGAGAAATGTGCTCATGATGTTCCTGCTTTAAAGTAAAGGAATATTCTCACTGTAAAAACCATAAGTAAAATATTAACATAAAATAAAGCTAAACTAACATAACCAAACTGGATGCTCACCAAATCCAAGTGTGTTAATATTTCAGAACATAAAACTGTACCTCACTTCAGGTATGTTTAGCATAAGGGACAAAATAAAAGTGTCCATCATGTGCTGAAGGTTAGCCAGTCTTTTAATATATTATTGCCATCATAAACCCTGAATGACTTCTTGGTTTTTTTTATTCTTGCAGTTTGCTGGCCAGACTGCTTATTAGGGAATTCTGTAGGTCAGGGTTTGAATTGTGTCTTTCTGTGCAATAAAAGTGCCCGATCTTATGTAGCAAAAATACAAATTATGGCTTCCCAAAAGCTGCATTTATCATAGTATAGTACAGAGAACTAGGAGTTCGTATAGCAACGGGCTGGACAGCTCAGTTTCAATTTCTGGCAGTGCAAGAATTTTCTCCTCTCCACAGCATCCAGATCAAATCTGCTGTCCATCTAACCTCCTATCCAGTGGCTACCACAGCACCTTTCCTTGGGAGTAAAGTGGCAGGAGTGTGAAGCTCACCACTCACCTCCATCTAGTGCCAAGGTCAAGAAATGTGGAGCTATACCTCCACTCCCCAGTATATCTTCATGGTATAATGATTACTTAGTTAGGGACTGGGACAATTTCACCCCCCCCCAAGTATATAGAGCTAAAATTCAGTTCATACATGTTAGCAGGTGACCAAGTAACTTTAAAAGTTACTGTCACATTAACACTTAGCTAAAGTTTATCTGTAAAAACAAGACCCAAAGCCTAATCTTAGAATTTGTGTCCAACAAGTCCATGAGGCCAGACTTATGATTTTTATTTTAAAAATAAACATCTAAGTGTGTCACCTATTGATGAGTAAGTGGAACATGCAGTAGCATAGTTGGTTGAAGCACTGTGTTACAAGCCAGAAGGTCGCAGGTTCAATTCCTGATGTCATTGGATTTTTTTTTTTCAATTTACACAATCCTTTCTGCCTCTGTGGCCCTGGGTTTGACTCAGCCTGTAACAAATGAGTACCAGGAAAGGACAACCAGTACATAAGGTTGGCAACCTTACTGCCGTCTGTGAGCCGATTGTCTAGAAAGTGTGGGAACCTCTGTTTCTCACAACCCTGTGGGCCTGCATGGCCTGTTACAAGGGTTAATGTGTAAGTAGATAAATGCTCAGCACACATTGAATTATTATCTATCCTTATGCCTCAGTATTAACTTTATTCAAGTTTGCTCTGCTTCAGTATGAAACCTGTTTGCTAAGTAATTGATACAAGAGAAACACAGAATCTGATCCCATAATAAGCAACATTGGAAACATGCAGTCTATATCCACGTGCATGGTTTGCACACTTCCATAAGCACACTGAAGTCTCTGGTGACTTTCTGCAGCAGGGATTTCCTCTTTCACAAGAAATTCGATGACAGCATGCTGGCGAAACGACATATCTTTGTCGGCCATTTTGTTAGGTGTGATACTGGTCACTTGATGCAAGCTATTGACATCACAAGACACTCAAGGTTAACACAACAGCTGGTTCCACCTACCACTATACTCTCTTTTGTCTGCTGTTCCCAGGTTGCATGCAAAAGAAAGTTGCTCATAACTTTCGGTACGACCTACGTATATATAGTGTGAAAGTACCAGATGCCGCAGTCACTTCATATTTAGTTGATTCAGTGTAGGTTTGAACCTCAACCCAGAGACCATTTATCCTGATTATTTATGTGTCTTTCTATAGTCCACGCCATGTAGATGTTGTGATAATACCTCAACGTAGGCTGCAGTCATTCCCTACCTTTGTAATTCGTTGCTCCTGCCATTTGACACTGTGCTGTCTGAGCTACTGATAAAGCAAAAAATAGTAAAGATATCCCTGTAACAGGCTGTGGAGGCCCATAGGGTTGTGAGATGTTGAGGTTGTCACATTTTCTAGACAGTTGGCTCATAGATGGCGGCAAGGTTGTCAGCCTTACACGCCGGCCGCCCTTTACCCCCAAGAATATTCCTGGTACTCATTTCTGTTAGAGGCTGAGTTTAACCCAGGACCATAGTGCGACTGGAAGGATTAGGAAACTTGAATAGCATCATTAAATAAACTGTAAATATAAGAAAATGTAGACAGATATCACACTGTGCTATGTTAAGACTTGCTTTTTCATTCCAGGATATTAGAGCTTAATGCATCAGATGAACGAGGTATTCAGGTGATCCGTGAGAAAGTTAAGAGCTTTGCTCAGTTTTCGGCAAGTAGCATTCGACCTGAGTGAGTATAAATTTATTGTACCAAATGGTTATAATTCTTTCACTGTGATTCCCGTATCGAGATGATGAATGTTAAATACACACAACTTTCTTATATGTCTCTTTTTAGCCTACTTATTAAAAAAAAATGCAAGTAGGCTTATGAGACCACCGTGCTGTGTGTGTCTGTCCCACCCTACTAACAACTGTTGATCGCCTGAACTGATCTTTATGAAACCTAAGACCATCTCAACTGCTTCATGAATCCATCCCATTAGTAATACAAACACTGCAGCCTCTCAGATTGTGGAATGCCTGAATCAGTCATCATGAAAGTTGGCAGGTATATCATACCACCTGAAGCCATCTCAACAGCATAGTTCATAAATCTGCCCTGTTATTAACAGCAACACTGTAACCTCTAAAATTGCTGATATATAACCTGAATGCCTGAACTGATCATCATGAAACCTCATATGTAAATCATGTTATTGAGGCCACCTCAGTGACATACATCATAAATTACTCCCATCAGTAATATCAACATTGCAGCGTCTCAAATTGTGTTGTTTTATTGACCTCATTACACATAAACAGTGAAGTTTTTTCCTACTTGTATCAAATACTTACATCCTCCTTGGTGTCTCCACCTTATCGTGGTGAGGGGGTTTGAATATGCCAAGGACCCTGAGAGCTATACCAGCGGTAGCGTAGCGTAGCTACTGGCAGGGCCTCCCTTGCTGGACAGATCAAAGGGTAGGCATCAGACGAAGAGAGACACCAAAAACCAAAAACTGATGCCGGAAGCAGCGTCATCAGCAGCGACTTGAAGCACAGAGCAAATGATGCTCGAGATGGTTCAAGTTCGTATAGCAACAGGCGTGACCAGAGTGGTTTGAACGGCTGTTGTACTGCGATGTGGAAAGCAAATGGAAAAACTACCACATTATCACTTTTCCTGGATAGTCTCTTTCCAAAAACAGAAGATCGCATTAAGTGGAGAAACTGTTTTGGAAGAGACTGTGGACCTGTCGTCTGACAGATTACTGATGATGATGATCAAATATTTACATTGTAGTGAAAGGAAAGTAGCAGTTAGTTCTTCCCAGAATTTCCTGCTGCATCTGCTTTTCACGCTATTGTGATGGGCTGGTGTAGTGTTGTTTTGCAGAAATGAACAGCTGTTCTTTTGTCCAGATGATAAAAGACCAATATATCAGTAGCGCCTTTGATCTGTTTGTCTATGGAAGATTTGGTACAGAAGACTGGACGGCTGTTAGAGTCATAAAGTATGCAGGAAGCCCACCGAAACCAACTTCTCTTTGAATGCCAGGTCACACCACTATCCAGCGAACAAGCTAGGTGTGCTGTATGTCTTTTTCTTTTTAATTTGTGGAGTGGGGTGAAACTGAGTCCACTTGTGGGAAACCAGAGTACTCAGGTGAAACATTGCTCATTGGCACCTTGTCCATCACATATCTCATGTACCCTGACCTGGTCAGACCCAGGCAATGGTGGTGGGAGGCCAGCGACTGACACCCAGAATTGTGGCACAGTCATCCTATACACCTCAGCATATATAGCCAGAGCTGTCTGAAGCCATCCTAGTCTCCATGCGTAAGTGGATTTTTTCCCCAAGATTCTTTTGAACAGAATGGCTCTAGCAACCAGTGCATTTTTCGTACTCTGTCAGTCTGAGTTTAAACCATGCAAAGAGAATGCTACTTCAGTGATGTTTCTGTCCTTTCTCATACCTTCAAGCTCAGAGTCTCCCACACAGAAAAGTCTCTAGTTTCCTTCAGTTAAAGACGGGTGTCCTAACTCAAAATACACTCCATCCCCAGCATGTGTGCTATGGTATACATTGTAGCGTGTAGAGCCATTACTGGGTGGCTCTTACAAACAAACATGTCCCCACAGCAACAAATCAACATGCAACAATAGAGGAACTGCTGGAAACATTGTTTTCTACAGTGATCTTTGCCAAGGAGTTATATAAGTGGGACAAAGTGAAGAGGGGAGTGTGGGATATATGCCAAACAGTAAGGACGTAAGTTTACAGTATTGAAACCTGTTACAGTATTTACAGGTTTATCGAACAGAATACAAGACAACCTTTTTGACTCAATAAGTGACGCAATTCTAACAGAAATAAAAAGAGAAGTAAGCTTGGCCCCTTTTGTTGCTCTAATGGTTGACGAGATGACTGACATTCGAAGCCAATGACAGCTCTCAATCGTGTTAAGATATGCAACTAGTGTTGGTGAAATACAAGAACGGTTTTTAGGATTTTTGGATGTTAGTGCTGATTGAACTGCATTGGTGTTAGCTGAACGCATTATAGACTGTGTAGTTCAGTATGGTTTTGGCAGCAAAATAGTGGCGCAAACGTATGATGGGGTGGCGGTCATGTCAGCTGAACTTAATGGGCTACAAACTAAAGTGAGAAACACGTTTCCAAATGCCATGTTCATACATTGTATGGCACATAAGATTAATCTTGTACTTTCACAGTCTGTCTTGAGTATTAAAGAGTGCAATGTGTTTTTCAAAACACTGAACAGCTTTTCTTCTTTTTTCTCTGCATCTTATAAAAGGACGCACTGTTTGGATCAAGAAGTGAAAAAGAGGTTTCCGAAATTCACACCAACCAGGTGGAACTATAACAGTCGTCTAGTAGAGACAGTATACGAGTACAGATTTGAATAGAACACCATGTTCCAAAATATAATTGAAAATCCAGATAACTGGGATAATGAAACGTACTTTGCCACTCAAGGATTTCTTTCTGTGCTGCAAGATTTCAACTTTTAATTTTCTACTTGCTGTTTTCAGTAACCATCGTTCTTTTCGACATACTACAAACAAAATCAAATGACATATCTTTTTGTATCTGTAAAGTGACCAAAGGAAAAGAAGATATAGCCAAGAAAAGAGAAACTCCCAGAACTTTTTCTCTGAAACGTCCTCAAATGAAGAAATCAATGAATCACAGAGCAAACGATTGCGTCTTGACAATGTAGGAGACGTAAACAAATGCTTCAGAAAACTTCATTATGAAATTTTTGATAATGTTGTGAATCAAATTGAATTAAGGTTTCAGAACTTAGAAAAGCAAAAATTTCTTGAATTAATAAATCCTAATTACAGTAAGGAGTATAAAAAGACATTTCCTGAAATTCCTTTTTTGTCACTGAAAACGGCGTATGGCCAGCACTTAAATTTTCCTCGTTTAAGAAGTGAACTGAGTGTATTTTATTCTAATGAAGATTTAAACATCCAGAATGCAAGTCAGCTTTTGCTACATCTAAAAACTACAAACATTGACAGTGTACTACACCAGCTGACAAAATTATGTAAACTGATCGTGACAATTCCTGCAAGTAGTGCTTCGGTTGAACGTTCGTTTTCTACACTGAAGAGAAATAAAACTTACGCGAGGAACTCTCAAGGGGAAGGGAGAATGTCCAGGTTGTCTCTGTTGTCCATTGAGAAGAAATTATTGGAAAACATTCGCAACAATGAAGACTTCTACGACCATGTCATCAATAATTTTGCTGCTGAGAACTGGAGAATAGATTTGGTCTTCAAATAAATTTTGGTGAGTTGATTGCTATCAGTTCGTTCATTAGATACCACTGCCTCCCTTACCAAAAATAGTACTGTGCGCCACTGATTGAACTCAAGAGTCTGGCAAGAAAGCCAGAGTGTAGCCACCTGAGCTGTTTTCTTAGTAACCATTGTCAGCAACTCAGACTATATAGCATTGTTTGGTAGAGTGACAGGAATGAATTGGATAGGATGCAGAACATGGCGTAGCATTGAAGATACTACCCTGATCTTTGTCAGGGAGACCAAAGAAACCCACAAAGACCCCAGTCAGGGTTGCTGGTGTCTTGACCAAGATTTAAACTTGGCACCCCGCTTCCAGATACAGCATCCAGTGGTTGAATATGATGGATTTGGGTTCACTGTTCTGTAGCTTGTGTATCAGTTAGGGGAATGGAAAAACTACAGAAATAGTGTTTAGACAATGCAATTTATTTATCAAATAATTATTTCTTAAATGGCACCAGTGAAATATTCTGTAGAGCATCTCACTATTTCTAGTAGTTTTTCATGAAAATTCTTCATCACACACAGCAGTGGTGAAATTAACATTGTATAGCAGTAACTGATTTTGTTTCAATATGTGCAGTCATCGTAGACACACTTTTCTCTGGTCAGTTGTCTGTGTCTCACTAAGCTGCAAGTGTTCAGGGTCAACAGAGGCGAGCCACAGAGCTCCACAGCCATTGTTCCATACTTTACATTGTTGCCAGACTTGTCAGATTCCACTGCTGGACCCTGTGCAAATGAGAAGCTTTGCCACTGCAGCCAGCTTGCTTTCATATGCTAAATTTAGTGGAATCATTAGGGTATTTACACTAATAAATATGAATGACAGAAGTATGGGTGGAAAATGATTGATGTTGGTGTTCATGATGCAGGAGTCCTCTGGTGATCATTTTATCGGCATGTTAGTTATGGCCTAATAGTTGTTATAGATTTCAGAGCAACACTAGTTGTTGGGGATATTGATATACTTTGGGTCAGTTGTGTAGTTGGTTGAGGGGCTATGCTACAAGTTGAAAGGTCATGGGTTCAAGTCCCGATGAGGTCATTGGATTTTTTTTTTTCAGTTGTCCTAATCCTTCAGCTGCACAATGGCCCTGGGGTCGACTCAGCCTCTAACAGAAATGAGTACCAGGAATTAATTAAATAATTTTCCTGGGAGTAAAGCGCGGCTGGCACATAAGGCTGTCGACTTTACTGCCATCTTTGTGCCGATTGTCTAGATAATGTGGGACCCTCAACGTCTCACAACCCTATGGGCCTTCATGGCCCGGTACAGGGATACCTTTACTTTTTTCTTTTCTATTTTAGTGGAAGGCCATGCCCACCGTTCAAGATTGTGATCCTGGATGAGGCAGACTCAATGACACCAGCAGCGCAGGCTGCGTTGCGCCGAACCATGGAAAGAGAAAGCAGAACAACTCGGTTCTGTTTGGTCTGCAATTACGTGAGCCGCATCATCCCTCCTATCACTTCCCGATGTAGCAAGTTCCGCTTCAAACCACTTGGTGAGTTCATTTCAACTCTACTTTTTGCAAAAGACAATAAGTGTAATGAATGTCCTTTTTTATCATTTTATGACACAGCATTAACATTGCTGTCTGTAATTTTTGTGGAATTTCATACTGAGTTCCCCTGCTCAAAACAAACTTGAAATTATACTTCTGATCTCTTTTGGCCAGTCAGAGTCGTCAGTTTACTTGCGGGCTTAATTTAATTTCTCTCTATATCTCAGTGAATAATCACAGATAGGAACAAGTTTTACATAAAAGTTATACAAAATAGTGAGATAAATATTTTGTTTTAAGGAATGCAGTGAAACTTTGATTTCATTCTCCCAGACTTTATGTTTTTTCACAAATTGGCACACTTTTTATATGATCCTGGCCAAATGCTTATAACAGCATTAAATTTTAACCAGTGTTATGTTTCTCCCAGAAGAAGAACCAGAAGTGGAAGAGGAAGTAGCAGAACATAAAGCACTGGAAGCAGCCAGAAAGTATATATGTTAACTTGATGCTGAGAATAGTATTATTGAAATGTACAACAAAGTTGAAAATGAACTATACTAACTGAGAACTCAAAAAAAAAAAAAGAAGTAGAATGCTGTTATCAGCTGTTTAACAATATAGTGGTGATAGATCTGTACCATATTTACCAATGTATCCGGGCAAATCCTGGGAAGTAGGCCATGACCGATTGCTTCCACATCCTTTCCATTCATTAGTTGTGACCATTGTGTCATCTCACCAATGGTACATTACCACAGCAGTTGATGAAATGTCATAATATAATTCAAATATGCCTGTGCAGAGTTACCATGTACATACAAGGGGGGTCCAAAAAAATGTACTCACTCTTTGATGGTCAATATCTTTGGAACAAAATGACATGTAGTTACAATTCTTGCGTGGTAGAGTAGTGTAATGTTTTCTCAACAGATGGCGAAGGTCACATGAGTCACGTGAGTGTCGTGCCGCGTGTGCGCTGTGAGCAGAAGACAGCAGCAACAATGGCTGAAAGGTTGTTCTTTGAGCAACGCAAGGCTGTATTGAAGTGGTACTGGAAGTACGAGAACATTAAAGAGGTACAATGACAATGGGCAGAATGAGTTTGGAACTCAGCCACCAACACGTCGAACAATTGCCCGTATTCGGGATAAATTTGAAGCCAACGGTACTGTTTATGATGTGCATAAGCAAAGATCTGGGCTACCACGGATAGTAACAAGTCCAGCTTCCATTCCTGTGGTGTATCTCGATATGCTTCAGGCATCAATTTTCCCTTCCATTTGAGAGCTGTTTGGAGAGGAGAGATTTTACTTACAACAAGATGGTGCTGCACCTCACTACCATTGAGATGTCCAGGCGTACTTGGATGACACTCTACCTGGACAATGGAAAGGTCGAAGAGGTGCTATTGAGTACCCACCACGGTCTCCAGACCTAACACCTCTGAACTTCTACCTATGGGGAACCTTGAAGGATGAAGTTTATCGACAAAAGCCGGCTACACTGAACGCACTACAAGAAACCATCGAAGCGTCGTGTGCAGCCATCACACTGGACACACTGACAGTCGTAGTTCACTCAGCAGTTCGGCAGCATCGATCCTGTTTAGCCGCTGATGGTGGTCACTTCGAACACATACAATGACTCGCTCTCTCTCTCCACACAAGAATTGTAACTACATGTTATTTTGTTCCAAAGATATTGACTATCAAAGAGTGAGTACATTTTTTTAGACCCCAATGTATTTGCATTTTAAATGGCTTTCTAAGTTATGGTATAAAGCAAAATACATTCTTTCTTATACTGTATTATTCTAATTGCCCTAATTTTACACTTCCCTAAATTTTACATTTGGTTTAGCTGGACCCTAAGAAGTGTATAATCAAGGTTGCAGTATAGTCATACTATTCCAGTGCAGCAGAAAGAGGTATGGGGGGAGTGGGGTTTACCTCCATGAATTTTTAATGTTGGCACTAGATGGAGGTGAGTGGTCAGCTTTGTTCACTCTCTAGCAACATCACTCTTGGGGAAAGAGCTTGGGTTAGACCCAAAAGCAGTCTGGATACAATAGTGAGGCAAAGAATTGTGCCACTGCAGGAATTGCACTCTGGTCATCCATCCCATTTCCGGTTACTCTTGTCACTGACTTTGATACCATGGATTATGCAAAATTTTATAAGCTCTGTGATAGTCCAAGCAACAGTGAGGGATGGTCAGCTCATAACTGGTCAAGCCTTCCTGGCCTCCCACTCATGAAATAGTAGCTGGAATATGGATGGGTAATTTAATTGGATTGGTTAATATCTCACGGTAATTGTTCTGATTATACCATTGGAGCCGGGATAGTATAGTTGGTATAGCGACTGTCTACGGGCTGGATGACCGAGGGATCAGAGTTCAAGTTCCGGTAGGTTCAAGAATTTTCTCCACGACATCCAGACTGGTTCTGGGGCTGACCCAGCCTCCTATCCAATGAGTACCAGAGGCGTGAAGCTGACCACTCACCTCCAACTAGTGCTGAGGTCAAGAAAATGTGGATCTATACATACATTCCCCAAATACACCTTCATGGCGTAGTGCTTAATCAGTTAAGCACAGGGACAACTTTACCTTTTTACCTATACCATTGGTTAGGCTACGTAACAGTTGATAGAGGTCTGATGCTGTCTCAAGAGTTGCATTCATGGGGAAACACACCTATCATGTACTATACAACGAATGACAGCGATTCACTTTGATGATTGGAGTTTATTAGTTAGAATTCAAAAGTTTATACTCCTGAGCTTTAAATTAATGGAGTGGCCAAAGTGATGCAGGTTAAGGATATGTTTCAGATAATTACATTTGATGTAATTTTACAAAATGCAAAATGTTAATTTATTTTGAATAATTTTGTGGAGCAGCCAAACATGCCCATTAACTTAAAGTTTGAAACAAGATGGCTTGTACCTGCAACTCATCAGACCTCCATGAAGTAGCTCTTCATGCTCAATACTAATACAAATCCTTCATTTACAATTGGCCTATTCAGATTAAGTTCCTCACACTTAACTTGAATATGTGTGCTCTTACGGGTCAAAATCACTGAATATGATGATATACCACTGTATTCCCACATCTGCAAGCTGTCAGCTTCAGGACCTATTTCAACCAGCTGGACCTTTCTGGCTTCACATCCCACAAAAGAACTATGAGCTTCAAGACATACACTTCAACCCAAACAAGGCAATGTAATATTTCTACATCACCAGTTTACTTCTATTAGTTCCAGAAAACCGTGAATCTAAATGATCAAACCAAATTGATTACTCTAATTATTGCACCAGTCACATCCAGTTAATCAGAATTTAAACATAACTGATTAATTATCTAGGTGGCCAAAAAGGAACATGCCCATCATGTGTCAGTACATCAGGGAGCCATTCTGGTATGAACACCTCTCTATTGTACAGGCAGTGAACTGATTCGGGAGCGACTGCAGTTGATCTGTTCGGAGGAGAAGGTATCATGCGGCGAAGATGCTATGAAGTGTTTAGTGGAGACATCTGGAGGTGATCTACGACGTGCTATTACCTGCCTTCAGTCCTGCAGTCGCCTCAAGGGCCCAGGCATTGAGATACATGCTGATGATGTGCAAGAAGTAGCTGGGGTCAGTGTTTGCCCAAGTCAATGACAGAGATTAACTTTTTCCCTGAAAATCAGTTACCATCTTCCTTGAGGACCTGGCAGTTCACTCTTATGGAGCTGAGCCGTTATGGAGAAGCTGCCAATTGTGCAGCTACTCAAGAACTTCCCAGCATTTTATGGAACCCAAAGGTTCATTACCATGTTCACAAGAGCCCTCCACTGGTCCCTATCCTGAGCCACATCAATCCAATACATACTATCCTATTCTGTCTCTCTAAGATCCATTTTAATATTGTCCACACACCTATGTGTTGGTCTTCCCAGTGGTCTCTTTCCTTCTGCTTTCCCACCAATATCCTATATGGATTATTATTCTCCCCCATTTGTGCTACATGCCCCACGCATCTCATCCTCCTTGACTTGGTCATTCTAATTAGACTTGGAGAAGAGTACAATTTATAAAGTTCCTCATTATGCAGTTTTCTCCAACCTCCCGTCACTTCATCTCTCTTAAGATCAAATATTCTCCTCAACACCCTGTTCTTAAATACCCTCAGTCCTCCCTTAATGTCAGAGAACAAGTTTCACACCCATACAGAACCACAGGCAAGATTACAGTTTTGTGTATTCTAAATTTTATGTTTTTAGATAGCAGACAAAAAGACAGAAGGTTCTGGACTAAATGATAGCAAGCATTACCCGAGTTCAGTCTCCTCTTAATTTCCTCCTGAATGAGGTTTTGATCTGTTATGGTCAGGCCCTGGCAGTTCAGTATTAATTAAAGAGAAGTCTATCAGTGTTTGCCCATGTCAATGACAAAGATTAACTTCTCCCCTGAAAATCAATTACCCTCTTCCTTGAGGGCCTGGCAGTTCAGTATTAATTTATTTCCTTTATTTTCCATATATCCATACAGGTAACAAACCTAGGATGTGGAAATAGTCCCTTTGAGAATACATGTGTCCAGATACATATACTAAATTACATGAGTTACATAATTAAAATCACTTACATTAATCAGTTAACATAAATAATAATATAAAATAAAAAACTTAATAAAATTTTAATTAATAAACATAATTTAAAAAGAGCATTACTATAAAATTTAAATTAGTACAGTTTTATTTAAATTAGCTTGAAGATCGCGGGTTCAAGTCCTGATGAGGTCATTAAATTTTTTTCAGTTGACCTAATCCTTCCAGCTGCACTATGGCCCTGGGGTTCACTCAGCCTCTAACAGAAATGAGTACCAAGAATTAATTAAATAATTTTCCTGGGGAGTAAATTGAGGCCGGTGCATAAAGCCATCTTTGAGCCGATTGTCTACATAATGTGGGACCCTCAACGTCTCACAACCCTATGGGCCTTCACGGCCTGGTACAGGGATAGCTTTACTTTTTACTTTTACCCAAATTAACTGAATTAAATGCATTACAAATTTACACACTTATGACCAATTATATTGATAATATAAAGAGAAGTTTGTCAGTGGTCTCTCCATGTACCCACCTGACAGAAATGAATGAGTCTGTATCACAGATTGATGAAGATGATGGGAAGTGGAATAGGTGTACTGGTAAATACCAGTTGTCTACCTCAGTGGGAGTCAGGTATTGTACACATTCACATGTAGGTCAAAGATCTTTGACATATGAGGTCTACACTACACTTACCTCATCAGGCCTGATGTATGTAAAAGCCAGAGACATTTGAAATGAAATTGATTGCATCTCATTTCATAAACAGAATTCAGAAGTGTTTATATAATGTGTCAAGTCACAACCTGCTGACTGTATAAATTGTTTGAGCGCTGTAATGCGGTATTGTAATGGTACCTGCACATGATTTGGCTGATGAAGTGTTGTGTTATGTCATTACTAATACTGTTACTCCTGAGGTGAAAATCTAGCCACCAGCCCATACTATGTAAGGATTTAAGATTACCTCTTCATGGGTGATAGAGTTGACTAAAACTTGGTTTGTAATACTTTATGACATTTTGTTTTTTTAGGTTGTACCTGTCCAGTGGGTAAATGGTATGTTGGAAGTCTGTCATCACAACAACTACGAGATGTTGACAGAGTTTGTGGACAGACTGATGCAGGAAGGGTATTGTGTTGCACAGGTGGGATTAATGTCAACATTATCTAGCAGTTTTGAATTAAATACAAATCAAGAATTTGTTTTAAAAATTTGTACGGAACTCACGCCCATGGACATGATAATGCAATATAGTAAAAAGAGATGGATACCACCTGAATATTCATACCTCTGTCACGGTTTTGTTTTCTTTTTTCTAGCTTGTTGAACAGCTCCACGAAGTTATAGTATTTGATAACAATATGACAGATCAACAGAAATCCTTGATCTGTGACAAATTAGGGGTGAGTTTTATCCATTGCATTGTTGTACAAGTACAAGTCTTTCAGTGAAACCTGAGCCTTAAGCTGTGCTGGTGGTGTGATGGTGCTACTGCACACCTCAGCACCATAGCTCATGACCTACTGAATGCTTACATAGCACATAGTAGAAGTTGAGAAATATGTTACATTGTCAGTTCTTGATCCATATATTGTCTCCGTTGTAACACAGGTCTGCAGCTTCAGGATGCAAGATGGTGGAAATGAGTACATTGGTTTGCTGGATTTGGGCTGTACCATCATCAGAACAATGAAGACATGAAAATAAAAAGTAAATTGAGTAAATACATCGAAACCTGCATTTAATTTCCTTGATCTAAAGTTCTCCCTTATTTAACGTTTAAGTCAAGTGATTATAGACAGCGAACACTCTGAGATTCCCCCCCTTTAAGATTTTCCTCACTTTAAAGCCACTGGTCTCCAGAGAAACCTTACACTGGGGTTTCACTCTGTTGTGTGTCCTTGCTGAACACAAATTGGCATGAGATGTGCCTTTAATTTATATGTGCATTGACATTACAGTGAAGATGTATGCTGTTTCAAATATTTGGTACAAATTAGAGCCAAAACAGAAATTTCAGTCTGTATTTTAATACCTTTATTTGAGTACAAGAATATCTGAGTTACACATATGAAGCATAATCATTCTGCATGTGGCTATTTGTTTTGTTTTCTTAATGTTAAAGTGTGTTCTTCTGGCATGTGGTGCCCTGTAATCTGGTATGTAGATACCAAAATTTTTTAGCAAACCTCAAGCAATGCTTTCATGTAATGATGGAGGCAATATATTCCTCCAGAACTTGAGTAAATTTCTACTAGACTGCACAGTGTCACATCCCATAAGATGCCTTCATATTTAACCACTGTGAATACCTCAATTCAGTGTTGTAGACGTACAGTTTTCCTTGTGCCTGAGCACCCTGTTCTGAGGGTATGTAGAGTGTGAAAGTAACATTTGACCCACTCTTGACTTCATAGGTGGTTTGTAGCTGGTTGAAAATGAAGATTAGTGTAGAGTTGAAAACAGCAGAAATATACTTTTCTGTTTGAGGTGTTTCCTGGGCTTATGGATTGTAAGTGAAGGTGAAGCTATCCCTGTAACAGGCTGTGGAGGCCCATATGGTTGTGAGATTTTGAGGCTCGCACATTTTCTAGACAATCTGCTCCTAGATGCCATTGACTTTAGCCTTATGCGCCAGCTGCCCTTTACCCCCAGAAAGTTTCCTGGTACTCATTTATGTTAGAGGTTGAGTTGATCCAGGGCCATAGTGTGGTTGGAAGGATTAACTCAATTGAAAAGTTATATTACCTCAACCAACTACACTACTGCAAGCCCCTCTGGATTATACATGAAGAATGTAAATGTAGACAGGAGAGTTTGATCAGTGTATGTGGCTGACTATTATTACATAATGATATCAACTAATTATTGAACAAGATAAAATATTTTTCAAGTATGATGTGCCCCCTCATCTTTGTAGGATACATTCCAGAGGAAATAATGTGTGATGCTGTAAACAACAGAATGTAGAACTGTGTATCCATTTCTGTAAGATAATATTAATTTAAATGCTATTCAGAATCTTACACTTTCATTACTACCAACTTTTGCAATTGGTCAAGAGTTGCTCCCCCACAGTGTCATTTTTAAAATGTAATTTTGTCTGATTTTCAACATTCCTTGCCATAGTTGTATACAATTTGGAGACAGTGTAGTGATGATGCTGTTTTTACTTCTCTTGTGTTTGTAGTTGAGTCCCCAGATGGTAGACTATGCTGTGACATTCAAATTGTTCACCTATGAAAAATTGGAGACTTAGAAATTACAGCAACTGTAAAATAATTCTTTTGTTTCTAGAGTGAACTTTGGTTCCAGTAACTCATGTCCTTTTAAGAAAATAAATGCCTGCAAAGACCTTGCACATTCTTTCTCATATATGGGTTACCTTGATTACATAACCTTGCAAACAAAATCAGTTGTTGCTCAGTAGACCATCATTGCTTCCTGAATACCGAACAACAATAAAATCCAACTAATTAAGCTGGTTTCAAGAAAATCAGCATTCTCATTTGGCCCCACAGTGCACATACCTATATTTTCCTCAGTTACTGGATTTCAACATCACTAAGTGTAGGGCATGGTGCAATATATATATATATATATATATATTTTTAATTTTGAATATTTTACCTGCAGTTATGGTTTTGTACTAATTATGAGTTAGTTCATCATATACAATAATAAAAGTAAAAAAAAAAAAAGTAAAGCTATCCCTGTAACAGGCTGTGGAGGCCCATAGGCTGGTGAGACATCAAGGCTCCCACATTTTCTGGATAATCAGCTCACTGATGAAGGCAAGATGAGCCTTATGCGCTAGCCAGCTGCCCCATATTCCCAGGAAGATTCCTGGTACTCAGTTCTGTCAGAAGCTGAATCGACCCCAGGGCCATGGTGCGGCTGGAAGGATTAGTTAAACGGAAAAACGCAATGACATCGGGAGTCAAATCTGCGACCTCCCGGCTTGTAGCATAGTGCCTTAACTAACTACGCTACCACATGTACATCTAATAAAAGTACATCTGCAAAGAATTACATTTATTTCAATAGTGGATATTGTAGTCACTTCAAGAGGGGTAACCCTGGCAACCGTTAATATTATGCCTTTTATCTGTTACGTTCTTGTACTTGCCATGTGTTCTGAACGTTTCCATTCTCATTTCGTATTCTTCTAAACTTTCCAAGCTTCCCTTACTTTAGCCAGAATGAGTGTGAAACATGCTAAACGAAGCTTCGATAAGATGGTATAAAAACAATGGAACAGTTTTTGCAACATACTGTGAAGATAAGACATGGAGTACCCAAGAAGTCAATCACCAGCATGAGGATTCAAGAAACATACACATTGCCACGGGTTTCGATAGATTATGGTATAACGACAGCTTTTTCACTTCAACAATCCTAAAGCTGGCTGCTACTAATTTTAAGCATTGCATATTTTATACGCTTCGTCTTGTCCTGTGCTGTGTATGTTTCCATTGTCATTCCCTGTTTTGTGTTGAGAATGATTTAGTTCTAAATATTATTGTATTATCCAGCTTCTAGTCACAGATGCCTCTGAATGCGTGTGAAACCTCTTGACTGTGTCTAGAAAAGAAAAAAGAAACTCCGTGGTTCCAGTCTGCAAGCGAACTATTCCGACTGAGCCACTGCCGCTTGTCGGTGAAGTTAATGCCAATCTTTAGCGGACAGAGAGTGTCGCGTGGTCAGCGCAACAAATTCCCACGGCCGTTAATTTCGGTTTTCTAGACCGGACTAAAACATAAATATATTCCTATAACGGGCTGTGGAGGCCCATAGAGTTGTGAGACGTCGAGAATTCCACATTTTCTAGACAGACGGCGGTGAGGTCAGCCTAATGCGCCGGCCTCCCTTTACCCCCAGAAAGACTCTTGCTATTCATTTCTATCAGAGGCTGAGTCGACCCCAGGGCCATAGTGCTGCTGAGAGCATTAGGTCAATTGAAAAGTCCAATGATATAATCGGATATACGTAGACCCCGCGACTTCTCACCTTGCAGCATAGTGCTTCAACCACTACACTACCGCGTGTCGCACATGATTGTGTATAGAATTAAGAAACTGAAAAAGCGGCCATGGTCTAAAGGACTGCAGAGCCACAGAGAGATAGAGAAAAAGAAAATTATCACTGCCATGTATAAACCAATAGAAGAGATAACGGAAATTTATTATTATTTTCCGAATTTCTGAGACACTGATTGATTAAATCTTTTAATATTTCAAGTGGAACACCTCTTGAGAATTCGACAGGAAGTCTCGTCGCTTGTTATATACGCTTACCTACTGTTAACTCCCCCTATTCCGGAAGGTCGCGGAATCCAATCTCGAGGAGGTCATTGGATTTTTCTCAGTTTATAAATGATATAAACTCCGTCTCAAGTGCAAACAATATATTTTGTGTCTTTGATCTTGCTCCCTACACTACATGTTTCGGCCTCAGACGGCCATCATCAGGTGTATAACACTCACGTCGCTGTCACACTGCACCCAGTTCAAAATTTAACATCTAAAACACTCTCCCTGTCATTATCAACTTCTACTTCGTTGATAGCTGTCCACCCGTAGATTACTTCACACACGTTAATTTTGAGTTTATTGTAATAGCACCATAATAAAATCTTTAGTTCTAATTTTAAACCTTTAAATTCTTGTCCAAATTTTAAAATTTTAAAATTGTTAGGGTTATTCGCCCTGTGTTTGAAGTGCTGCAGCGGCTAGTTCTTGTTTCCACACTGTATAGGTGTTATCCTGTGTAGTCTTTCTGTGTGCGTGCCGCTGCTATTCTTTACTACGTGTGCTGTCAGTTTACCTAATCCTTCCAGCCGCACTATGGCCCTGGGATCGACTTGGCCTCTTAACAGAAATGAGTACCAGGAATATTCTTGGAATGTTCATGAAGGTAAAGGGCGGCCGGGGCGTAAGACTGACAACCTTACCGCCATCGATGAGCCGATTATCTAGAAAATGTGGGAACCTCAATATCTCACAACTCTATGGGCCTCCACGGCCTGTTACAGGGATAGCTTTTCTTTACTTTACTTTACTTTCCTCCATATTCCTTTCCACTTCCTCATGTTATTGACTAATGCGTCAAGGCCGACTTTAGCGTCATCTGCTACTAACCACACGTACAAATATTAGTGAATCGTCTCCTTTTTACAGTATACTGAACTTCACAAATCCGCATGATAATGTCAGCACTCACGGAATAAACAAGATCATTGAAACAAAAGACTTTCTCCTTTTCATGGTCTACTACATATTTTATGTTGATGCATCGTGTTAACCCTCGGGAGTTGGCTGCTGTGGTAACTGTAAACTGCTTAATTATAACGATCACTCTTACTCAAATTCTGGGGAGTAGGCGCATCCCTCCCCTGAACGTCGTGTTTATCAGGCATACCTCAGATAACAGACAATGTGTAACATAATGTGGCGCATTTGCTCAAAGCAAGAACTTTGGGGCCAATACAAAACTCGTTGCGAGGGAACAGCCCTGTGTACACATTGTTTCCCCAGCAACTAGACAACATGCATTAATGGAATCGGTGTTTCCTGTTCGGTCCGTGCCGAGGCTATATAACCAGTACCAGCTGCCATTAAACCTGTGCGTAGTCGTGGTCTAATATGTCCACTGTGAGGAGGCGACGAGAAGGGAGGCCTCAAATCTGAGACAGTAAAATATGGTCGCGAGTCCCAAGGGACTAGGACCCGATAAATACTACGCTGGCAAGGGCAAACAGCATATATAAAAGACAGACCCGTCCTCTCGCCAGAAAGGGCACCCCACAAAAACAAGACCGTAACTGTCAAACAGTAATAAATATCTGGCCATAAGCGGCTCGACACCAAGGCTTACTGACTGACGGTCAGTCGCAATGTGACTTTGACTTGCGAGAGAGTCCTCTGACGGCAGTTATAAGAGTAGGAGGTTGGTGTGAGATGGCCGCCAGTCTGCGAGGACGTGAGCCCGAGTGCAGAGGAACGTCCACTGTCGAAGCCGCTACCAAGCAGAGCAGTGAAGCCTATGACTGAGAACACTAGTTTTTATGTGACAGTGATTTGTAAAGTGTAGTCACGAGTTGTGTATTAAAGTGTCCAGTGAACCCGATTACCAATCCACACCAATCCAAACAATAATATCTAAACCAGCGCACCTTCATTCCGCTCAAATCATTAAATATATGACATAAGCCCTACACGTTAGTCTTCAAGCAGTCGTCTTCGTCAGCGGCCTCCGTAGTCTAGGGGTAACGTTCCCACCTCATGACTCAAGTTACGCGGGTTCAAACCCGGCGGAGGTCGTGAAATTTTTAAGGGCGGAAAAATTCAGCCGTGGGTCCCGTGTCGTAGCTTTACGGCACGTAAAAAACCTGATGTCTCTAGGAGACCTCTGAGCCAAATTTGTAAGGACATTTCCCGCCCAACAATAGTCTCTAACGCCTCTGGTAGATGGGGGAAGCATCTAGATACCGCTGAGCCAGTAGAGGCCTAACTCGCTGGCTGAGTCGGGACTGATGGCACGCACCAGTACCGGTAGGGTATAGAGACTGGTAGAATATCACAGGGGGACG